TAATGTAATGTAATGTAATGTAATGTAATGTAATGTATGTTTGTATACATATGCATTTGTGTACCTACACATGTGCAAGTGCCTATTTTGGCAAACTAATGATTGCGGATTGGCACTCGCAAGGCTGTGGCCTACTTCGCTGCAGCCTCCGCTTGCGCACGCGCCGGGGCCTGGCGCTGGGTGGCGAGCTTGGCCAAAGGAATGGATGGGTTTAGGGCTTAGGGCTTGATTAGGGCTTTTAAAGGTTCAGGGTTTACAAGGATGCCTGGGTAGAGGCCGAAGCCCGTATCAAGGCAAAGACAGAGAGAAGGCGTGCACTGCGCGGGGGCTTGGGGCCCTTAAGCCCAAACAGCGACAAGAAAGAAAGAAAAAAAAAAGAAAGAAAGAAAGAACAAACAAGATGATTCCAATGATGGGGCCCTTTTGGGGGGGGGGGGGCTCTTGAAGGATATGAGGTTCGTGTCAGGGTCTTAAGGTTTAATAAGGAACCGTTTTTTTGGGCCCCCATGCGCAACGCTTCGCAACCTGAATGATTGAAGCTCACCGGGCTTGGCCAAGAGTCAAATTCGAAACCTGAAGACTGAGCGGCTTGTTTTTTGAAGGGTTCGGGGACTTCTTGGTAAGGATTTTGGTGCCTGAAATAAGGTTGTAACCATACTTGCCCTACCTATAACCTCACTGAAAAAGTACCCATGAACCTCCAAGTAATCCAGGTACCCTGACTTAAAGCTTCTTCGAGCGTGCCGCAATATTTCCGGGAACCGACCCGTGAAACCGCACGGGAAAGGCTGCAGAAGGGTTTGCGCCAGCATGTTTCGCGAAACCTCCTGCGGAAAAGCTGCCATTCTGAATGCGTACATACCGTTGCGGAAGTCTCCTTGTCTTGCAAGTAGTACTACGATACTGCCGTTGAAGCATGATGAATTCCTGCTGTTTCTGGGTGCGGAGTTAAGCTCCAATCATCACGAAATGAGCTCGCGGAAGCGACTCGTCTACTCCGGAATCTTCGCAAGACTACAAACATTACTCGTGGCAGGGTTTCACACGAGGTGTGTAGAATGTTTGGGCTCCCCAGCGCATTTTCTAGGGCCCTGATTCCGAGGCCCTTGTGGTTGCCTGGAGCTCAGCCGGGTCATTTCCGGGAACCTCCGCGTCGACGAGATTTGGGAAGTAGACGCTCAGGTGAGCAGAATGCTCCGCGATGGTGGCAAGGCTGTGGCTGCCGAGACTTTCCACGCCAGAGACTCATGACAAGGGGGGTGGGGCTTCACTTAGATAATGTCTCCAGATTCCGAGCCTATTCTGGGTCATTGTTGAAAATCATTTTACATTTTTATGAATACTTAAACCCAATAAGGAACAAAACTATCAGGTTTTATTGGTACCCCAGCAATGCTGCAGTATTAACCGCCTGCCCAGGCAGCCATCAACGCGTGTGAGAAGGCAAGGGGGGCAACACCCACCTTCGGTGTTGAACACTTCCCTGCCAGGGGCCCCCAACACCCTAAAGCCCGTCAGAAGCTCGTAGAACCCTAAGCCATAAAACCTTAAAGCCTAGTAGTCATTTTTGGCTCAATCCGGATTTTGATTCCGGAAGGCGATTTGTCAAAGGTTTTTTTGGGAGTTTTATAGAGAAAACTTCAAATTGCTCTCCATTTTATAGGAAAGCTGCTATTCTCAATAGGAAATCCTATTTTGTCCAAAAAAAAGGAAAGAAGGTAGGAAGGAAGGAAGCCAGGAAGGAAGGACGACGAGTGTACATATTGGAAGGTACTAGCATTTTTGCCTCTGCCCGTGCCAACATTGCTGCGCAATCCCCTTTTTTGCGCTCATCCGCTGCCGTACGTCCTGCAACTTACGCGCAGGCAGCCAACAATCTCTAGAACCCCTAAAGCCCCTTAGAACCCCAAACCGACAGCCCTGAACCCCTTAGAGTGTGGGCCTCGCCTGGCTCGTCCGAGTGATGACCTCTTAACCTTCACTCCAGCTGCTTCGGAGGGCGGGGGACTCTGGGAGTGCGCCATCGAGTTGCTCAGAAGCCTCCGAGCCCTGGCCAAAGTGAGGGCTTTGAGGGACTTAAGGGGCTTTCAGGGATTTAGGGATGATTTAGGGTCTGGGGTGCTTGGTAGGTGTGAGAAGGGCTTGGGAGGCTTCAGGTTCTGTGTCTCTTCAGGCTTTTGGGTCTCATGTTTCAACAAGGCCCAAAACCTAAAGCCTAAACCGCGAATGCGGATTCGCCACAGCTGTGCAGGGAAAAAACCCTGCACCCTAAACCCTAAACCCTAAACCCTCAACCCTAAACTCAGGGCCTAGGCCGCCCCCCTACAGAGGGGGGGCGGCGCTTAAGCCCTTCGACCTCTGTGGCGAAGGTCGACCCAGGTCGCTTGCCCGCCTCCTGCAGCCAGGAGGTCGGTAGCACCCACGATGGGCCCGGTACCGGAGCAGGTTCTCCCGGGGACCAGTACTGGTCCCCTTAATAAAGTAAATACCCTAAACCCCAAGCTCTTCACCCTGGCTGGGGCTGGCATTTCGGGGGGGGGTACCCCAAGGCCCCCAGGCCAGGAGGACCCGGACCCCTCACCGCAGCATGTCCAGGGACCAGGGGGCCTCAGGCCAGGCCAGGCAGGGTGGGTGCTCAAAAACCTGCTTTTTTGGTTTTTGTTGGTTTGGGCCCCCCTGGGCCCCCCTGGGCCCCCTGAGCCCCCCTTGGGCCCCCCTTGGGCGCCCCTTAAACGGGGTTTGTGGGGGGGCCCCCTGTGCCGCCTGGGCCCCCTGACCCCCCCCTGCGCTTCTGCCGGCCCCTGTCTGCAGGGTCCCCCTCCTAGCCTCACTGAGCCCCCTGACCCCTTGCTTTTCCTCTGCTCCTGGCTGCCCAGACTGACCCTGGCCTGGGCCCGTGGTTCTTCTCCCTCTGTGGAGGCTTGTTTTTTGTGAAAAGCCGTGACGGAATGAAGAAGTTTTATGTAAAGAAAGCAGTTGGCTTGAGTTTAGGCCTAAACCCTAAAAGGAATAGGTTTGGGTGGCTTTGCCGCCTTGGACGGCGTGGGGTGGGAGAAAAGTGTTAGATGGCCTTCCACAATCGGGCCAAAGCTGCTCTTCGCACCTCACGACGCTTTCGAGCTTGTTCCAAAACCTAACCTTCACAGCATCTACGCCCTATCACAGCAAACCCTAAACCCTAAACCCTGAACCCTAAACCCTAAACCCTAAACCCTAAACCCTTTGGGGTTGGTGTCACGTGCACCGAAGCAGCGCTGCCCCACCCAAGGTCGTGCGCGAATGCCGCCGAGCGCTATCGCGATGAACTCTGCATTGAGCTGCTGCGAGAAGGCCGACTGCAAGAGTTTAGGGATTAGGATTTGGGGTTTAGTGTTTAGGGTTTAGGGTTTAGGGTTTAGGATGTTCAAACTCCTGTTCTTTCCACAAGCTGTAGAACTACAGTTTCTTTACCCTTCACATCCTACATCGGAAGCCCCGATCTAGGACCCCTAGACCCCACCAACTGTAAACCCTCGAAATTTTTCAGGCGAGTCAATGGCAACGCGCATTGCACCTGCTGGGGCGCCTAGATCGAGGGCATTTGCCAGGTTTAGGGTTTAGGGGTTTAGGGGTTTAGGGGTTTAGGGGTTTAGGGGTTTAGGGGTTTAGGGGTTTAGGGGTTTAGGGGTTTAGGGGTTAGGGTTTAGGGTTTAGGGTTTAGGGGTTTAGGGTTTAGGGTTTAGGTAGGGTGCTTTGTTCCTGTGGGTTGAAAGGTTTAGGGTTCTTGGGGTTGAGGGCTTTTGGGCCCACACTTCCCGAAGACGCCAAAGGCCGAACAGCCGAATTTGCTCATAATGTGCTGTATGGGTTGACCTTGGTACAAAAATCCCTATTAAGGAGCTGGTAGTATCAGGGGGAACATCCCAAGTTTGACCTGATGTATGGGGCGTTTCGGAGACTCTGGGCTACGATTCTGCCTAGATGGGTCGCAGTTGCAAGTTTAGGGCTTAGGGTTTAGGGTTTAGGGTTTAGGGTTTAGGGTTTAGGGTTTAGGGTTTACTTGAAAACCCAGGCTTTCAGTTCTGCAGGGAGGCGGAGATGGTGTCCGAGCCGCTGCCGGGTTGGAGGCCGCATGAAGCATATTATACTGTTTAGAGCCAGTTCTCTACCCTAAACCCTAAACCCTAAACCCTAAATCCTAAATCCTCTCTGCGCTATGCTTCTTTGGGTGAACGCTAGGTATTGAGTCCCACACTAGACATACTAGACCGTTGGAAAGATGATTCGAGAGTGGCTTGTGTAACTGTATCTGTGGAGATCAGAGGTGACCGGCTGCGTGGCATCGTCCCGGTTAGCTGGCTCTTTTGTCGTGCGTGCTCATGTGATCTGATTCGAAGTCGAGTTTTTTTCAGCCGATCTCTGAGGGAAAGCTACAGCCGATTTGAAAAAACCTTGTACCAGTCGGTTGGTTAGTAAGGATTCGGAAGGACTCCAAAAATGTGTCATGTGGAGCCAATCCGGAGTCATCCGTGTTGCTCAGGGCCTCAGGCCAACGGATGGAAACGCATCATTCGGTTCATAATAAGGTCTGATTTTTTCGGCAGGCTATCCGAGTCAATCTTCTCATCGTGTATGTTGCTGCTGTCGGAATGGAAACAACATCGTGGCTCTAATGCTGTATCATGATACAGTACCTAGCAAACCCTGACTGCCCTCAAGCTCAAGCTCGAAGCCCTGAAGTTCGAAGTCAATCACACATCGTGCGCAGGCGAGTCTTATCAGCTACAATGCGGCCATAACCGCCTGCGGGGCCAGGTGGCCACTGGCAGTAAGCCCGCCGCCCAGCAGGTTGTCAACGAAAACGTATACACCCATTGCCCACAGTGTCCGTAGTCCTTTGTTTGCGCTTAGATGGTGTGCTGCAGCCGAGCAGTATAGTTGGGATCCTACTGCGGAGATTGTACACGTGCGTGCCAACTGCAGCTTTAGCTGTAGCTGCTTGGGGACTGCAAGCCTCCGCCATGGATCCGCTGTCCCAGGCCTTCGTGCCAGCTCTTCGCGGCCCCAGCGTTGCGGTGAGTCGGGAAGCGGTTGTGACCAGGGTCGGTCGCAGCCAAGATGGGGCTCCATCATCGGCGCCTCGTACCTCTCACCTAGCCATCGCCTGCCTGGCGGTCCCTGCGGCCAAGGTCGCAGGTGCAAGGCACGCGAGAAGTCGCCGCCGGGTTGCCCGCCTGGCGGCGGCCTCGGCCTCGTCGGATGTTCCGACGGAGCGGGAGCGCTACACGGATGCGGCCTGGCAGGCGATGCAGGATGCGCCCGGCTTCGCACAGCAGTGCCAGTCCCAGTATGTCGAGCCGGAGCACGTGTTTCTTGCTGCTTTGGAGCAGCCAGTCTCAACAACAGGTGGGCTAGCTGCCCGCATACTGGAGAAGCTGGGCGTGCAGAAGCCTGTTGCTGTCTCCCGGATTATGGAGCCCTTGCAGCGCTTTAGCACTGTCACGCTTTCCAGCCAGCTCCGAGCTATTTTGTGAACTTAGTGCAGGCAGAGCTTTGCAGACCCCCCGGGGGGCCCCCAAGTACCCCCTTAACATGGGCCTGAGTGTATCTGAATGGATCTATTTAGGGGTTTTGGGGCATCTTAAAGGGTACTTGGGGGGTTCTAGGCTAACCTCCAAACTTAACAAAAGTTTGAAGCCCCTTAGCCCTCCAGTGGTTTCAAGGAGTGGAGCGACAAGCAGCCCAAGGCCTGCCTCTAAAGCAAAGGTTGGCAAAGGATTTCAAGAGGTTTAGGGTTTAGGGTTTAGGGTTTAGGGTTTAGGGTTTAGGGTTTAGGGTTTAGGGTTTAGGGTTTAGGGTTTAGGGTTTAGGGGTTGCCGTACCAAGAAAAGCATGGCAGCCCTTAAATCTGTTTTGTGGTAAACATGAATATGGTATATTAGGAATGAACACCTAAACTGCCCTTAAAGGGCAGGACCGTAGTTGAGGAGCCCCAAAGGCAGCTGGGCTGCTAGGACAAGGGGACTCCTGCCGGAGGGCAGTGTTCACTTTAGCGGGCACTGTGGCGATGAGATCCTTAGATCGCTCAATCGCGATAGGAGTTAGCACGGTAATGAGGACTTCGGGACAAAACCTCGAACTACGCACCCAAATCCGAGAAACCCAGAACTAATGTCGGGCTGCAGACCCTGCAATATATTAAGAAAAAATGATGATAATAAAATAATCATCATAATCAGAATCATAATAACAATAGCAATAATAATTAAATAATAATCAGAATCATAATCATAATAGTTATACTAAACAATAGTAATAATGACTAGTATGATTATTAATAATAATAATCATAGTAACATAGCAATAACAATAATAATAATAATAATAATAATAATAATCATAATAAGCAGGTGACTTCACCTGGCGGCTCCATGGGCAATGCCGCCGGCCGGAGCCTTGTGACCATGCTGCTTGGCGCTTCATTTGACTTGCGTCTTGCATTTTGAACAAAGGAACTGCCCTCCTCAGCCTCCGAAGTCCATGACATCCTACACGTAGCTGAAACAGCAGTCTACTTGGAGGTTCATGCTACTTATTAACTAATGATAACTGTACTTTTAGCTGTACTTGTAACCATACTAGGGGAGGTGCAATTATAGCTGGTTAATAATTACCATGAACCTCCAAGTACCAGCCCAACGTACAGTCCTATCTGAGCTTCCCAAAGAGCAGCGAAGGATGTCTGAGTCAGAGGTAGCAACCTTGGCCGCATCGGAGGGCAGGTGCTCACATACTGGGACGCTCAGAGGTATAGGGTTTAGGGTTTCGGGTTTAGGGTTTAGGGTGTAGGGTGTAGGGTGTAGGGTTTACTTCTATACCGGAAGGTTCGAACCCAGAAGAGCCACCAAGTGTTCTGTACCAGACCACGGGATGTCCCTGCCCGCCGGGCTAGTTGAGGTTTTGCCTGCGCAGGGTTCCGCAAACAGGATTGTGCCAGCAGATGCTCCCACCAATGCTGCTTGCTGCTTGCCCTGAGGCAGCAAATAAGTGGGGTGACAAGTTCATCTCAGTTGAGCACTTGGTTTTTGCCTTCTGCAAGGACCGAATCGAAACGGGGTACTTGCATGAGGTTTGGGTGCGAGAACTGCTTGAGCTCATCGCCTCTGCTCTCTGCTTTAGCATCCGTCCCCGTGCCGTGAGGACACTCGCTTTGGACAGCGATTCTTTTCAGATTTCGGATGTGACGAAGCCAAAGTCAAAGAAGCTATCGAGTCAGTTCGAGGCTCCAGCAGAGCCGCCCGACGGAGAACCTGTGGAGTTGTAGGATTTCTTGCGCGCAAGCGGAAAACTCCGCAAGTCTGCTCAGTCCGAGGTCACATCGCAGAACCCTGAGAGCACCTATGAAGCTTTGGAACTGTATGGGACGGACCTCACCACCATGGCGCGTGAGGGACGCCTAGATCCCGTGATCGGCAGGGATGAAGAGATCCGTCGAGTCATCCAGATCCTGGCACGTCGATCGAAGAACAACCCTGCGACCCAGCAGCAAGCTTCAGTTGAGGGATGTTTGGGAGGGCCAGAAACATCTTAAGCCCCTAACCCATGAACCCCAGGCCCCTCAGCTCACGCTGAGCGAGTTGTTGAGGTCCCTATCCTTGCTTCTAGCACCTGGTTTTGCGATGTCTTGGGAATTTAGACTGTTTAGGGTTTACTGGTAGGGTAGGGTGCTGAGTGCCCGCACAGAGCAGCATGTCATGATGAGGGCACGGAGCGATGCTAAGCGCGATCTTGAATTTCGCTCACACCGCGTGCGCCTCCTCTCTACATGCTTCTGCGTGCTTCCTCGCGCGTGGCCTTTTTTTCTGGAACTTGTTGCGAGGACTCAGCCGAATGGACGTAGAACAGGTGAGTTACTTGCAAGAGACGCGGATTGTGTGGAATTGGGGATCATTTTGGGAGTTTTCTTGCGTTGCTTCAGGATGCTGTTGAGGACTCTTTTCACGATGTCCTAAGCCGCTCCGTGAGTCGGTGGAAGTAAGGGGTTTAGGGTTTAGGTTTAGGGTTTAATTAGGGTTTAGGGTTTAGGGTTTGGGGTTTAGGGTTTAGGGTTTAGGATGCTACCTTTGTCGAGGACAGCGGCGCCCGTCGGCCATCTCACATGAGGCTTACAGGGTTTCGAGTTCTGCGGTTTTTGGGCCGGCGCTTGAGGTGATCATCGGCGAACCCGGCGTCGGCAAGACGGCCATCGTAGAGGGCCTTGCCCGCCGCATTGTGGACGGCGACGTCCCGCAGACGCTCCAAGACAAGCAGGCGGCCCTAAACCCTAAACCCTAAACCGATGGGCAGGTTGAGGGTCTTCGGGCCGAGGCGGCAGGGTTCGGATTTAACGGTGGCGCGAGCTGAACGTTCAGAGGCTTAAGGCTAAGTTTATGCGGTTGTACCTTTACTCCGGTGGTTCTAACAACCACTGCCGAAGTTGCAGAGCACGACGCCTGCACGGCTGCGGCTCGATGTACCCTGCAAACCCTCAACCTGAAATATGAAGGGAAACTCCAAAGAGCACGAATATTATGACTCTGGTGTTCGAGAAAATCGGTATGCGTCCCCGACATAGGCCCTACGCCTTAGAGCCTGATAGTGCCTGTGAGAACCTGTAGTTCGGCCAACTTCTTGCAAAAAAGGGCAGGTATGATTTGGGGAATTTAGGTGCATTGCTAGAATCCTGACAAGGTGATCTCTCTGGACATCGGTGGCATGGTGGCTGGCGCAAAGTATCGAGGCGCCAGTCTTGCTCCCACACCATTCACGAGCCTATAGATAATGGACAAGATCATCCTTGTCCTTGATTCATTAAATCAAAATACCCATTCAATCAGGGACCCCCTCAGTCAGATTCTGAGATGAAAGTGCGTAAGGTTGGGTTGGCTGGTTGGTGGTGGCGATTCTGTACACAGTGGTCTTGACGGCCTGCAGGTGAGTTCGAGGAGCGCTTGAAGGCAGTTCTGAAAGAAATCAAGGAAGCCGATGGGAAGATCATCTCTTTCATCGACGCAGCGTGGCTTAATGTCACGTCGAGTTCAAAGATGGACGTCGGAGTGTCTAGCGCAACCGCGGATTGTCCCTATGGGTGCTTATCAACCCAAGGAAATCCACACCATCGTCGGCGCTGGTGCATCAGGTGGTGTACCTCGACTTGACTTTAAGCGCAGCTTCTGGCGAAGCTTTCGACGTGTGTTGATCAAGGGGTTAGACGTTGCCAGGGTTTCTACTAGTTGCTTAAGAGCCCCCCAAAGAATAAGAAAATAATACTCCCTTTATAACCCTTACGTAGAAGGAAGAATAGGTTTAATTTTTGGGGGTTTCTTAAGCAAATAGTAGTTCAGGGTTAAGAGCAGCGCATTGGCTTCTAAGGCCATGGATGCGAGCAACCTCCTCAAGCCCCTGCTGGCCCGCGGGGAGTTGCGGTGCGTGGGAGCAACCACTTTGGATGAGTACCGCCAGTACATCGAGAAGGAGCTGATTGTAGTTGGTTTGCTCTAAATAGAGTTTAGGGTTTAGGGCTTGTACAAGACATCGTGCACATCCGATGATCCAGAAGCACTCGACTTGTGGAGCCACTACGGTAAAGACTGAGATATACATACAAAAGGCCCAGACAGGCCCGATAGGGTTTAGGGCTTAGGGTTTAGGGTGACAAGGAGCTGGTTGTAGTTTGCTTTATATGGGGGTTTCCATTTTTTTTTTTTTTTGGGGGGGGTCCTTATGACAAGGGAATCCTACTATGTGCGGGTCTATATTAGGGGTCCCTTATGTTCGTAAACTCCCTTACAGAGTTTGGGTATGTCCCAAAACCTCAAACCCTAAACCCCGGCTGTGAAGAAGCATGGTAGTGTGTTTGGTGGTAGGGTAGTGGGTGTCTTTCGGAATGTTGTGGCCGTGTATCACCTAAGGCCTAACAGGGTCCTTTACGTGGACTTCTAACTGTTGTGAGCCTCGCCTGGCTTGTCCGAGCGTGAGCCATTAAACCCAGAGAGCTTGAAGGATGGAAAGCTGCAATGCTATTTCAGGAGGGGGTGCTCTTTTCACGGACCCAGTTACTTGCCCATTCTTCCGTGGCTTTGAGGGCATCAATGATCAAACTCCACGTGAGGGGCCTTTCATGACGCTCAGATGGCCTCTTCGAAGCTATATGTAAACCTATCATGCTTCGGGTGATGAATCTGCTCAACCGCTGAGCAGCCGGCAACTCTAAAGAACAAGCGCGTAAACACCGGAGTGTGTCTGCAGTGTGGGTGGTAAAACAAACCCATAAACCCTAAAACCTAAAGAGAACAAACCTAAAGCCTAAACCCTAAACCCTACAAACCCCATGTAAACCCTACAAATCCTAAGCCCCCTACAAACAAACCCTACACACCCTACAAGCCCTGAAGGGAACTAGCTGATTAAGCCGCCCTTGGTCTTGAGAGGATGCGGCCTTGGAGCGGCGCTTTCAGCAGGTCTTGGTGCAGGAGTCGCCGGTCTGCACTCGGATTGCAGGCTCCTTGAGGTGGTTTTTAGGGTTTAGGGTTTAGGGTTTAGGGTTTAAGGTTTGTTTTTTGGGTTCAGGGTGTTCACAGAGGGTGCTTCAGGTACGGCCCCCTTAACCCCCAAACCTGGAGGCCGAGGCGTTAAGCCTTGTGAGCGTGCTGTTCGGTTAGTAGTGGGGTTGTTATCATTACTATCCAGTACGATTCCGTTTTGCCCGACTAGCACCGACAGTAACTAGCGTCCCTCTCCATTGTGGGTGCAGACTAGCAGCTGCATTGAGCTCGCCGGATCTTGCGATGTGCATCCTTGGATTCCTGCAGTGCAATTTGTAGTTCCCTGCCCATTCAGGCACAAGCACTGATTTTCTGGTCCTGAATCCTGAACCCCCCAAACCCCCAAACCCTAAACCCTGGACCCATGCGGGAGCAAAAAACCCTGAACCCTTTTGTACCCAAACCCTATACACCCTGTAAAACGATTGTGTTCAACGATTCTTCGAAGATAAGGCCGAAAGTCCCGGATGCGGTCAGCATCCTGCGAGGCACCTTTGGAGGGGGGGGGGGGGGGGGTTTAGGGTTTAGGGTTTAGGTTTAGTGTTCAGGGTTTGGGGTGGGGGGGGGGGGGGGTTGGCTCTTTCGTTCCATCGGGTGTAAGGTTGACTCCCCAAAACCCGATCTTCCGGAAACCCACAACCTGGTAAACCTTCTTGCGGGTTCAGGGTTTAGAGTTTAGGGTTAATAAGGTTTGCAGGATTTTTCGGGGTTTTTAGGGTTCAGAGGATGTAGAGGGTTTAGAATGTTGTTATAGGGTTTAGAGGCTTGAGCTGTCAACACTGCCAGGTAGGGGCTGCACGGGGCCACCCGTCAAAAAGTGTATGGGGCCTTTTGGGGTGTCCAACTAGGGGTAAAATATTGGGGTCCTTATTAGAAGGGGATCCTACTCCTTGGGGCTCTTTTCTTAGGGGTCCCTTGTTATCGCAAACCCCCCAAATCCCAGATCTCTAGCAGCTAGCAGCAGGCGTGTTGGACATGAGAATAAAAAACAGTAATAGTAATAATAATAATAAATAGTAATAATCATAATAATAAGAATTATAACAATAAAAAATAATAGTAATAATAATAATAGTGAGTAATATAATAATAAGAATAAATAATAATCAGAATAATAAGAATCAAAACAATAATAATCATATTCCGTGTTGGCTCAGGTCTGAAGCCCCGGTATGAGCTGCACCATGGCGTTCGGATCTCCGACCGGGCCGTCGCGCCCGTGCTCAAAAGGAAGTCCTGGGACCTAGGGTTTAGGGTTTAGGGTTTAGGGTTAGGGTTTAGGGTTTAGGGGTTAGGGGTTAGGGTTTAGGGTTTAGGGTTTAGGGTTTAGGGTGTAGGCTTCGGTTTAGGGTTGAGGTTACCGGGTTGGCCCCGCAGAGAGGCTCGCTGACTGGGCTGTGCTTCTTGCAATTCCCTGGGAACCAGCTGACTAAATGAGCACAAAATATAAGAGTATAGGGTATATGACCCCAATTTTGGGGTTCAGAACCCGAAGGTCGCAGCCGCAGTTCTCAGCGACCGGTATGTCACCGATCGGTTCCTGCCCGACAAAGCGATTGACCTCATGGACGAAGCCTCGGCCAAGGCCAGGGAACCCTAAACCCTAAACCCTAAACCCTAAACCCTAAACCCTAAACCCGAAACCAGGTGAGGCGTCAGCATCAGAGTTAGCAAAGGATGACTTGTAGTTTGCTCGATTCCTTCTCTACACTACACATGTTGGCGGCTCTCAGAGTATCCGGCTAGCCGCATCCCCTTGAAATCAAGAATCCTTCCGGAAAGCCCCCGGAAAAGCCTACTCGCCTTGCCCTGAACTCTTGGTCCAACTGGTGGTTGACTGAACGGGACCCAACGGCATCCTCACAACTTCCTCAACTTTGGCTGCTTGCATGGCATAGTCGTTCTCGTCCTACAATATTCCCCGCAGCATGTGGCCAGGCAGTGTGTTGTGTCAAGAACGAAGCTTTTAAACCCTCAACCCTAAAGCTGATGCCTTCGCGTGCCGAAGGTCAAGATGGAGGTCACCTCGAAGCCGGCAGAGTTGGAACGGCTGGACCGGAAGATTCTTCAGTGCCCTGGCCTCTCAAGATGTTTCAATGCGGTCGTTCGAGGAACAAGTACCTAGACCCCAAACCCTAAGCCCTAAACCTGTGTGTGTGTGGGGGGTGGGGTGCGTTGGTCTCCCACTGTGTGTATGGTGCTGCTCAACGAGCCTGGGCAGCAAGCCACTTGCTGCCGCCACCTGTTAAAAGGGAGGTTGTTGGTGTGTGTTGGGGCCCTGTCTAGGGCCAAGTTTAGGGTTCAGGGTTTAGGGTTTAGGGTTTAGGGTTTAGGGTTTAGGGTTTAGGGTTTAGGGTTTAGGGTTTAGGTTTCATTTGATCCTTGATGGCTTGGCTGTGTGTTACGGGTTGGATTGCCAGATCGCTTTTCCGGCCTTTGCATGAGGGCTGTGCGGACAGACCTGGATATGTTTATTTGGGGATGAATCCCCTTTGGCTGCCTGGCTCTCACTTGGGCACTTTTCAGCTAAAAGGCTGGTAACAAAAAGGCGGGCGGGGGTAGGGTTGGTTTCGAAGCGACAAGATGGGATGCCCAGCCTGCCCATAGTAGGGCCGAAACCCTGTAAACTCTAGAGGCCCCAAACCCATAAACCCCTACACCCATGAACCCCTGAACCCTTCCCCACCCCAAGATCCAAAACGCCCTAAACCCTATATAAACCGAATCCTTGCCTGCCCTGTGCGAGTGTGAGAGCCGAAACCCTAAAACCCTAAAAACCCTAAAAACCCTAAAAACCCTAAAAACCCTAAAAACCCTAAAAACCCTAAAAACCCTAAAAACCCTAAAAACCCTAAAAACCCTAAAAACCCTAAACCCTAAACCAAAACCCTGCGCCCTTTCCCAAGCCCTTCCCTTGCGAAGGCTTGAGATGGAACGCCTCAGCGTCGGCGATGACAAGGAGTCGCGATCCCGAGTTCAAGGGGGGTTTCAGGGCCAGGCCACGGACCGACCGGATTGAAGTGGGTTTAGGGTTTAGGGTTTAGGGTTTAGGGTTTAGGGTTTAGGGTTTAGGGTTTAGGGTTTATAGGGTTTCGGGTTTCGGGTTTAGGTTTAAGGCCTCTGGCCCTCAGTCCTGGCATGAAGCAGCTTCCAGGTTCAAAAGGGCCTCTAACTTTCTGGAGGCTGCATGTTTGTTGCTGGCATCCTTGGGGAGTCCGGTCTCGGCCTTTGGACTGTTGTTGCCAGCCGCCAGGACAGTCAGTCAGTGGCTCGCTTGAATGACATTGAAGGGGAGCTCGAGAGGCCGGATCAGCGCCCTGCGTTTGGGTAAGCCCTATAAACCCTAAACCCTAAACCGCAAGAAGCGGTAGATGATAGGGCGTAGCGAACATTGCCCAAGATGGGCTTCCAACACGTCGCGCGAAGCTTTTTCAAGGGAAGAGCAAGGCAAGCTGTCTGTGGCGCTGAAATACATGCTAAACCCTAAACCCTAAACCCTAAACCCTATACCCTAAACCCTAAACCCTAAACCCTAAACCCTAAACCTCAACCGTCGCGAGAGGGTGTTGGGGCAGGGGAGCTCTCGAGCGCACCTATGCGGAAACCACGACAGAAACACGCATGGCAACTAGATAGTGCTTGAGGTTGCCACTCTCAACTCTGACAAACTTAGTGAATGAAGCACGAGACCACAAAAAACCAGAGAAGGCACTGGGTCGGTCCTGTGTCATGAGGCTGCTGTGTCATCGCCGCGATTCTCTAGTCAAGCCAAAGAGCTGGGGTTGTCATCGTGCTCGGCCTCACTGACAACCTTCTGGCCACTCGCGTCAGCCAGGTTGCAGCCCAGCGTTTCTTCGTCGAGGTCGCCCCTCCTCTTTTTCAAAGTGGTCTAGGTGCAGCTTCAGCAGCCGCACCAGACCCCCTGCTTCCAGCAGATGCATTCCACATCCACGGCTCGGCCGCCTCTAGTCTCCTCGCCTGATGGCTCCCTTCCCGGTGGGCAGAATGCCCCATCTATTGTTATTGTTATAGTTATTGTTGCTGTTATTATTGTTATTATTGCTATTGTTATTATTCTGGGTCTTGTCCGGCATCTGCCGCTCCTGTTCTTGGGGACCCAGGAGCGGAATGCAGAACGCACTGGGGACGGGCGCCCTGGGATTCAGAGTCCGTAGCAACGGGCACACGGGAAGCATTTCGCGTTTAGGGTTTAGGGTTTAGGGTAGCAGGCTCCTGCTGGCTGCCATAGATGCCTTTGCCAAATGACGCGCGCCGGAATTTGGTCAGGGAGGCAAAGAGCTCCATTGCAGTCTCCCACGTTTGCCGGAAGGCCGGTGGGAGGCCTGCTCATGGTGCAGCGACTGAATTCCAAAGGCGTGATGCCCCAGATGTGGACAGGCCCGTCCATCTCACGCGCACATGACGGTGAGGAGCTCACCACCGATGGACCTGAGGGTTTAGGGGTTAGGGTTTAGGGTTTGGGGTTTGGGGTTTGGGGTTTGGGGGGGGGGGGGGGTGAAGGCTGACAGGCTTCCTTGGTAGAGGCATTTCGCAAATGATATCTCCCGTCAGGGCCGCTGCAACAAAAACATGGCCAATAGATATAGTTATCAACACACTTCAACCTGCTCAGAAGTCCATACATCGCCCTGAAGCTGCTCCCCAGCCCCCATCCGAGACCGCTTGAATGTTCGTGGGTCGTGGGTCGGGTCAGAAGTTCTTCTAAGTACCCTAACTCAGCTTATCACCCCCCTACCCTACCTTCTAAGTACCGACCCCCCCCCCCCAAACCAAAATAAACACAAAACATAATCTTTAGCAGAATCCCAGCATGCCCTACACCCTAATTACCTTAATTGCCCTAATTACCCTCATTACCCTCATTACCCTAATTACCCTAATTACCTTAATTACCCTAACTACCCTAATTACCCTGATTACCCTCATTACCCTAGTTACCCTAGTTACCCTAATTACCCTAACTACCCTAATTACCTTAATTACCCTAATTACCCTGATTACCCTAATTACCCTAGTTACCCTGATTACCCTAATTACCCTACTTACCCTGATTACCCTAGTTACCCTAGTTACCCTAGTTACCCTAATTACCCTAACTACCCTAATTACCTTAATTACCCTAATTACCCTGATTACCCTAATTACCCTAGTTACCCTGATTACCCTAATTACCCTAGTTACCCTAACTACCCTAATTACCCTAATTACCCTAATTACCCTAACTACCCTAACTACCCTAACTACCCTAACTACCCTAGTGACCCTAATTACCCTAGTTACCCTAGTTACCCTAATTTTCTAATTACCCTAATTACCCTAATTACCCTAAACCCTAAACCCTAAACCCTAAACCCTAAGCAGGCTGCGATCTGAGCAGGGTGAGCGGGAGGAGAAGTGGCAGGCAGAGCGCCTCCTGGCTGAACCAAGCCAAGGCTTCATGACTCTGGCTTCCCCACCCCCCCCCTGAATCATTAGGGTTTTCAGGTTTAGGGTTTAGGGTTTAGGGTTTAGGGTTTAGGGTTTAGGATGTAAGGTTTAGGGTTTAGGGTTTAGGGTTTAGGGGTTTAGGGGTTTTAGGGTATGAGGGTTTAGGGTGAAGTCTTTTTGCTGGCTTGTGCTAGCGAAGAGCTGGCGTGCATCCTTGGACGCACTTGAAAGAGACCTCGTCGAGAGGGTTTAGGGTTTAGAGTTTAGGGTTTAGGGTTTAGGGTATATAACTGGTATATAGCTTAACCCTACAAGGAGTTTCATGAAGGGGTTCTTGTACGCGAGCTGCCAAGATCTTGTGTAGATGAAGTGACAGTTTGGCAGTGGCAGAGAGAGAGAGAGAGAGAGAGAGAGAGAGAGAGAGAGAGAGCGAGATCCCCAAACAAGAAAGAAAGCAACCGCTCGCCTTGTCCGAGACGTGTGCTCTCAGCCTGTAGCCTCAGAGTGCAAGGTGAATCTGTGAACTCCCTCCAAGACTTGCGTCAGAAGATCGAGGACCTCCGTCTCGGGGGTGGCTCTCAGTTTGTTCGGGTTGCAGTTGCAGGGTCTTGAAACTCAGAGCGTATTTGGGGACCTTGGGAATGGCAGGCAAGGGTCGCGATTTCACGAGAAGAACTCTCCGCTGTGGGTGGGGCTGCGTTTCGAGGGATCTTTCTCGAGACTTTAGACTGATACTGTTTAGAAGCTACAAGGCTGTACCCCTCTGCCGATAAAATTTGGAAGGATCTGGAGCGCGCGCTGGCGGAGGCCGAGCGTGAGATGAACTTGCAACGCGCAGGCGAGATCAAGCACCCTGGCCAGTTCGTTATGCAGGGGGGGGAGGGTGGGGTGGGGGTGCACTCAGACTTTGGCTGGTTGAGGGCGGTAGAACTGGGTGTAGGCGCGCGGGTGAGGGGCGGCGGATTGATGAAGAGGTCGCTGTTTACTAAGAATGTTCGAGGATGTTCGAGGGTTGGAGGATATTCTTTCGAGGGCGCAGTAAGCGTCCCAAAAGCGCGCTGCGGCTGCTTGCATCGAGGTTTGGTGAGCTGGCTACTGCCAAGAAGCAGCTTGAGGACGGCACGCCTTTGGACAACGCATGTCACATCGCGACAAGAGACCCTAGACCCTAAACCCGAAACCCTAACTCAACCCTAGTGCGCAGGAGCGCGAAGCCGAAGCGGCTGACACAGAGGAGGACACGCATCACCCAAAAGTCGCATTGCCCCGTTCTGCAGAAGGTTCCGCTTTCTAAGGCGAGGTAGTACTCCCTAGATACGCGAAGCATCCCTCCAAGCTATATCGGACCCTCCTCGAAAAATAGGCCCCTGGAGAAAACACGCGACATCAATGGCTTGGGCAGGTGTTCGGAACCTCTACAGGCCCAAGGTCTAAAGATTTCAGGGGGTCTGGGGATGGCCACCTACTGAGATCTAGCTTCCAAAACCGTTGCGAAAACGGAATTGTGAAGCTGCGGAGTATCAGGATAGCGCCGAGCTGGTCAACGAGCGCGTGCCCGTGGCAGCGATTTAGGGGCTTGGTATGGGTTTTGTAGATCCTGCCGACTAAAAGGAGCTAGGAAGCAACGGGATGGGCCATTAGACCCTATAAGCACCAGAATCCACCCCAAAAAGGGCCTTTTTTTCGGGCTTATAGAGGGTATAAATAGCCCATGCTGGTAAACTAGGGCAATCACAGTGCAGAGGGATGCAGGTTGTTGCCTGTAGGTTCGCGGTTTGAACCATTTTGAGCCATAGGAACGCAGGTCAGCCCATAGTCCACTCAGGACATCCAGGAGATTGTCTCCATGCAAACAGGCCTGCTGCGTCCCCTACTTGGAGGTTCATGGGTACTTATGACCCCAGTCATACGTCTACGTACTTACAGCCTACTGAGAGGGCGTTTCAGTAGAGGTATAATGGGGGTTATATGTACCCCGAACCTCCAAGTAGCCTCCTTGGGGGTGGTTGCACCTGTCTGCTGGCTTCGCACGTTCGCAACGCATGGGCGTTGCAGCATAAGTTCTTCGACTACCGTGGATATCATCGTGTTGGTGGGTATATCGGTATCCCTGAACCCTAAAAAACCCTAAACCCTAAACCATTATGGCTCGGATCTTGATGGTCGTTCAGCCTGCCTGCTGCCTGAGAATCTGCAAGGCATTCCTGTGGAGAAGATGTCGATGGGCGACCGCCAGCGGCTCTTGAATCTGGAGGAGAAGTCTAGGGTTTAGGGTTTAGGGGTTTAGGGTTTAGGGTTTAGGGGTTCAGGGTGAGAAGGGACAGAGAGAGGCAGTAAATGGGTTGCCTTCTTGTGGGCCTCTCTAACACCCGAAGCTAGCGAGCCCGGCGGCTGAAAGAGACTGCCAAGCCTCATGGACACCAAAGCTCCGAGATGGTGGTTACATTTCAGGAGCCTTTCGGAATGCTATAGTGGTTGTGTCCCCCTAAACCCCAAACCCTAAACCCTAAACCCTAAACCCTAAACCCTAAACCCTAAACCCTAAACCCTAAGCCCTAAACCCTAAACCCTAAACCCTAAACCCTAAACCCTAAACCCTAAACCCTAAACCCATTTCATCACCTAAGGTAGCTCTCATCGTAGTATGGGAGTGTCGAGGCTTTCCACGCCAGGACCAGCTCCACAAGCGCCTCATTGGCCAGGATGATGCCGTTAAGGCTCTGGCAGAGGCGTCGCCTGGGCGCAAGACGAGTTGTGCTACGATTTGACCCTGCTTCTCTGCTCGCGGGATTTCTCGGTTGAGTCTTAATTGCAGCCGAGGATCCAGCGATCTCGCTATGGCTTGGCAGATCCGAGACTGGGCTCAGTTCAGTTTCAGCCCGGCTCTCTCGCGCAGGATGGCAGGTTAAGGTTACCATGAATGAAAATTGGTTTGGGTCAGCTTGGTATGTCGGCCCAACCCTTTGCGTTCCATCCGACACCAGTTCTCACTCGTCTGTGAAATTCATGGCCTCAGTCCTCAACCCTCCGGTATGACCTCAACCGAAGTCCTTTCGGAGATCCGCGACCCTGGGCGTAAGCCCAAACATGCCACATGCCCCAAGTACTAAATCCCAAACCCTAAACCCTAAACCCTAAACCCTAAACCCTAAACCCTAAACCCTAAAAAAAACCCTAAACCCTAAACCCTAAACCAACCTCCACAGAAGATTGGAGCCGCCCTGTAAGTGAAGGAACCGGCCAATCGCCTCGTGCCTCTTCCTGGGGCCCACTGGCGTGGGTCTCCCGGCCGCAAGCATCCCGCAGGATTCCTTGAGGGCTCAGTTTTTATGGTTTACTTGAAGGTTCATGGGTATTTGGTTTGGGATTTCCTTCTGCCGGCCTGCGGCCGATAGAGGCCTGATTGTGAATTTTGGCGGTTTACGAACATAGGGGACCCCTAAAATAGACCACCCCCCCTAAAAAGAGTTAGATTCCTTTATAATAAGGACCCCAAGAAGGTACCCCCTGATTTTCGGAATCTGCCCATGATTGGAGCCGGCGTGATGTCGAGGCAAGACAGAGCTCGCGAAGGCGCTGGCAGAGTGGTTGTCTCTCGGAGGAGTTTGAGCTGTTGTCAGTGAGACCCTCATTCTAAGAGTTCAGGATTCAGGGTGCAAGGTTTAGGCGGTTCCGTCAAAACGAAAACCCTTCAACCAGCGAGAACCTTCAGCGCAGCGCATACCCCAACACCCCAGACCCCACAACTGCGTACCCACAGGACTGTAGGTTTAGGGTTGACGAGTACAAGCTCAAACCCCCAAAATCCGAAAGCGATCTTCACAGGGTAAAGTTACCAGGGTAACAAGACTGGAGTCTCTACTCAACCTTGTTGTTTTCTGGAGCTATGCTCCCAAGTCAATCCCAGCGCTGCAAGCAATCATAGTTAGTGTAAGGTCAGCCCAAAGAAGTCCTAGCGTGCAACTTGCAGTGTGCGATACACACTTCGTTTGAATTAGTATCGTGGGGCCAGCCCACAACATAGTTTTGGTGTGCCACATACCACGCAACACCGTTTTCGGCATTCACTGCCTGCTAAAGAAGCAGTGGACTACATTCAACACCTGACATACTGCAAATGTCCACACCGAACTCTTCTCCTTTCACAATCCCTGCTTGCGGAAAGTTCCTTGAACACCACGGCGGAATGCGCGCCGTGGGACTAGATGGTCACAGTTTGCCCATTCTCCACGGACACGTTTCTGCGCTCTGCCAAGGTTTGACTCAGAGGAGTCTATGATACGGGTGGTGCCTGGCTCAGCCTCTGCTCCCGTCTCTTTCACGCCACTCCAAATCAAACAGAAAGATGACGAGAGGACATGTCCGAATACATGGAGAAGTTCGCGGTGTCGCGGCTGACCGGTGCCCCGCCGGGCTACGTCGGCTATGAGGAGCCTGCTGCAGCTGTGCAAGGCTTTCGATTCGAAATCTTTCGGATGCTTTTTACGAAAGCATAGCACTGGCCGCTTTCAGTTCCGCTCGCAGGGCATGTAGCCTCAGACAGGTTACCGGTTCATACAACTCAGCTGGCAAAGCTCTTTCATCTCGGGCACTGTGCCCTACTTGAAGGTTCATGGGTACTTGTAGGTAGGTTTCTAAGTACCCGAGATGAGGTTACAACCATAGTTGCCCTGCTACTTTTTACTCTACTTATAAGTACCCCATGAACCTCCAAGTACCAGCTTTACCATTCCAAAACACCCTTGACCCCAAAACGCACACAAGAGTCAGCCTGGATACACTTTCATGGGGCCAGAAGCCGATGGTGAGCATCGGTCCCTTTGTGCGTCCACAACCCTGAGCCCTAAACCTGCGCGCGAGTGCTGGGCGGGTGGCAAAAGGCAGCTTTGACCTTCATCTCTGCAGTAGTCCCTTGGAGCATTGCAAGAATCCCGACTCGGAGGTTCATGGGTAACTAGACTTAGAGCAGCGTGGGAGGTAGGATAGCTCTGGTTGCAACCTTATGTCGGCTGCTCAAAATTCCGACTTCTACCTGCCAGGAGGGGGGGCAGCTCACCGAGCCAGTCAGGCGCCGGCCATACTGCGTTCTCCTCTTCGACGAGATGGAGCTATCTGGATGACAAAGTACCTTGTGTATATATATATATATACATACACATACGTTTGTATATATATATATAGATGTGTATATATACGTTTTATTTACAGATTCCCGTGTTCATGGGTTTATGGGCATCTTTCGTAGGAGTATGTATCACAGGGTCCCAAAGGTCCATCTAGCAAGCAGCAAGGGGGAAAGTGGGTTGCTCTACTTGGAGGTTCATGGTACTTATTAACCAATTATAACTGTACTTATAACTGTACTTGTAACCATATTAGGGCACTGAAAGGGCTTACAAGTGGGTTATAAGTGCGGCTCTAATGGGTGAATACGTACCGTGAACCTCCAAGTATGGGACAAGAGGAGTTGCTTGGGGCTTCAGGGCCAAGAATCCGAGGAAAGCTCACCCGGATGCTGCTCGGAGGCAACGTGTTAATAGTGGCATCTTGCCCCACACAGGGTCCCGACCCATTTAGCGTTTAGGGTTTAGGGTTTAGGGTTTAGGGGTTAGGGTATCAGGTTGAGATTGCAAAAGGTTGAGATGCAAAAGTTGCCTGAGCCTATGGCCCTCTCTCGCCCGCCCACAGCTTGCGTAAGCACTCAGGTATTCAACCTTTTGCTCCAGATTTTGGATGATGGGCGCTGTACTGATTCGCAAGGGCGCACAGTGGATTTCAAGAACACAGCCCCGAGTCTGCAGCAGTGAAACAGGCTGTCTGATAGCCACCAACCTTAGTTCTCGTGACGATGGTTTCTGGAGATCAGGTGTTTTCGTCGAGCAATGCATTTCGAAGGTGCATCAAAGTCTTCAAAACGTGTGCCCATGTGGTCTCAGAGGTCATTATCATGACATCGAACGTCGGCAGCGACGCGATCGCAGAGCTGGGTGCCCGAACCTCAGCTTTGATGCACAGAGCACCACGGGCATGGGAGGAAGCGGCCGAATAATTACTAATCTTACTCCCTTATGGTCCCTATATGATTCTACCATAATGACCGAGCCCCCGAACAGAAAGGCACAACCCTATTCTAATCATTTAAGGCCACTAAAGTATGGCCCTCAGACTGCTATCAAGTATACAGAACCGACTTTCTTCAGCTGAAGACCCAGAGTGCAAGGTTGAGCTGGACGACGCGGAAGCAAAGTTCCAGGAGGCTTGCAAGATGTAGGGGATAAGGGTGAAGCACCGAAACAGCCCGAAAGCTGCAAAGAAAAGGGACGCTGTTTGAGAGCGCCCGTGAAGCCCAACCCTAAACCCTAAAAACCCTAAACCCTAATGTCGAGACGCAGGTGACGGAGGCAGTCCGGGCCGCGATGGCTGACGTCTTTCGACCCGAGTTCCTGAACCGGATGCTTGGCAAGTGAGTCTGAGTCGACAGGAGCCCCCCATGATGCACAGTAGGGTTTAGGGTTTAGGGTTTAGGGTTTGGGAAAACCTTAATACTTAACCCCAAAAAACCCTGCCCTCTCTAAGGACTGAAAAGGAGCCCTAAAGAATGTAGGTTTCTTAGGGTTTAAGGACGAGGGCTTGTCAGATTTGAGTTCTCAATGACTCTGTAGGTGATGGGAGCGGCGTAACGACTTGCGCGAAGAGCAGCTTGTGCATGTGCTTATGGGGGACAAGATCTCAGGATTGACGAGACCATCATCTTCCGGCCTCTGAACAAGAAAGACTTGCGTGAAATCGCCAAGCTGCAGCTGGACAGAGTGCAGAAGAGACTGGAAGACAGGACGGGCGCGCAGGCAGTAATTAAGAGATGCTGCTTTCAATCTACTGAATTCGCGGATTCATTTTAGAACTTCTTAAGTCCAGTCTGATTGTTTGCCAGTGCCTTCAAGTTAGCTCTGGCGCACTTGCTAGGAATATCCACATCGACGTTTCCGATGCTGCTGCTTGTCAACGATCTTGTCCGTGCCCAGAGCCCCCGGTAGCGAGCGTACTTGTGCCATCCACGCTTCAAGGACGGCATCAACTGATCCTGGCATGGCGCATCTCTCTTAATGGACGGTCACGAGCACCTTGCAGTAGGCAAGTGTCACACTGATCAAATCAACAAGCAGCCATTCAAACATTCAAGCGGACATTGGAGTAGGGTTATAGCAACAGGATTCAGCGCAGCCAGAAGGAGCATGAGCTGCCAGCTGCCACACGTTCCATACGTTGTGCTGAATATTGCTACAATTTCTCTTCATTGCTATAGCTACTGCGATTGTCACAATTACTACTTCCGTTGCAGACTTGTTCTGAACCACTGGTAACCCTGAGCCCGCAACCCTTGGCTGGAAAAAAACAATCCAAGGCCTTAGACGTCATAGCGCAGCGCGGCTACGACCCCACTTTCGGCGCGAGGCTGGCTCACGTTGGGCATCGGGGCACCTTCCAGGTCGTGATATCGGTTGAACATTGTTGAGCCGACGGTCGGCTTGGTTTGTAGGGATTTGTCAGCAGATCGACTCAGATGGGCAATTTATCTTGCACTGGGGGGGGGGGAGGGCATTGCAGGAGCACGTTGCAAGCTGACACCAGACTCGTCGCGCTGGTGGATCAATACAGATTGCATTGCATGCGTATGGGCATGTGAAAACTTTGGGTAAAGTAGCACCCTGCCCCAGTTTCCGTACAGAATCATAGCGCGCTCAGCACATGGCCCTAACCGACTCTTGACATTCCTTTTTGATCTATGCCCGGGACGATGCCAAGCCATGCTTCTCTGAACGCAGCTGATGCGACGCTGGTCAAGGCCATCTTCCGAAAGGCGGATGTGGAGCAGACGGGATACCTAAGTCGGGAAGTCTTCATGAAGCTGCTCCGGCGCCTGGACCAGAAGAGGTGGACCAACGCGGCCGTTGAGGGGCTGATGAAGGTCATCGATCGAAATACCGATGGCCACGTGCAGTACGAGGAGTTCTTGGAGTGGTGTATGGGCGGCGGAGATGGGTCGAACGAGGTCCTGACGCTCGCGCGACTCACCAGCTGCAAGAAGGTCACCCCCCTGGTGCGGAAGGATGCCATGACCTTCCTGTCACAGCCAGGTCGGAGTGCTCTGTTTCCCGAGCTTTCGGAAGCCCTGCGGGGTGACCCGGAGCTTTGCAAAGTGGCCGTGGGTGAACATGGCGTTCCCCTGAAGTATGCGACAGACGCCGTAAAGGATGACAAGGATGTGGTGGAGTTCCTCCTGATGCGCAACTGTCGCAACTTCAGATATGCTTCTGAGCGACTGCGCAACGACAAAGCTTTCGCAACGGCAATGATCCAGAAGCACTTGACGTACCCGTGGTCCGTTGAGGATATCTTCGACCATGTTTCCCGCGCAATCACCGGAGACTTCGACATCATGCTGAGTGCGGTGCAGCTGCAGCCAATGGCATTGCGTTATGCCACGCCGCATTTACGAGACAACAAGGACTTAGTTCTGGCAGCAGTTCAGAGCAAACGTTGCACTCGCCACTCCGATGCGCTCGGAAAGGACTTCTCTGACTGGTTTCCTCGCGAAGAGTTTGCGGGTGACCGGGAAGTCATGCTTGTTCTTGTCAAGAAGATGCCGCTGCTGCTCAAGCAGGCCTCGCACAAGCTGAGGGCTGATCGTCAACTTGTCAGGGTGGCTGTTGAAGGAGATGGTGATGCTCTGGAGTTTGCTTCAGAGGACCTGCGCGGTGATCGTGAGATTGTTAGCATAGCCGTGGAGCATGCCGCGCCGGGCGGCGACGTTCTCAAGTTCGCATCTGAATCTCTGCGAGAAGATTCAGAACTCCAACATTTGCAAGCCCAGGCGGCCGAGCGCCACGAAGAATGGTTGGCCCAGCCCGTCAGCCTTGCCGACGCCTCCAACGTGGATCTTGCCAAAACGCGGGACCTGCTCGCGCTGTTGGAAGAGTGCTCGCGGCCAAACTCACCAGCCTCCCCAGCCTGAGCCTCTGAGGCGCCACCAGCGCGTTGAACAGCTTGGCGTGCTCAGGACTACACTTTCAAGGTTGGCTGCCGCCATCTCTGGCAGGTAGGTAGACCATGTCCTGGTAGCTCAAAGAGACTTCGCCAGGCAGTCTCACACTTTCGTTGTCGACCCTGGACGCAATGCAACGCAAAGAGGAAAACCAGACCCAAGCGCCTCCCCTGTGCTCCAGCTGCTAGTGTCTGAGAGCTAACTATCCATAGGTACCCCCATTATCCCCCATTTACAACCCTAATTCTAGGTGCCCATGAGCCTCCAAGTAGGGTTGAGTGTTCGGAGAGCAATCCAGAGGCCTATCAAGCGTTCCATCGTCGCCAACGTTGAGACGCCCCTCGCGCAGCGAGGTCTCCGGGGCGAGTTCCAGGACGGAGACACGGCCCCTGTGATGTGATGTTTGATAGGAAGGTCATGGCAGCTTTGCGCAAGCTGTCTGTGTTTCCTCATGCTTTGGTTTTTCCATCGCGGCTGGGGTACCTTTGGTCAGGAAATCTTTATTGAGCAAGCGCAGAGCTTTAGGGAACGTTACGGGCAGACAAAGTCTGCTGCAAACTTAAGTATCCGGCCCTTAGAGCGCCCAAGCCTGCAAGTAATCTCTCAAGACATTCGAAGAGCCCACGCTGCTACTTCTATGCACACAAAATGACCTGTTGGCTCTGAATCTCTTGTGATCATCTTTGCAGCTGCAAAGCTTCCAAATTCCGAAAGTTGCAAGCTTAGAAGCTTGCACTAGTTGCATCGTACTTCGAGGGTGGCCTTGCCAGATGTCCATCAAAATCATTCACTGTCCAAAGCCGTGAAGGCGCACCTTGAGGTGGATTGCCTGGTGGTATCGGGTCGTCCTGTTATGTTACATCTAGATAGTCTAAGATTCTGTAAGCGACCGATTGTGGCACGAACGTAGGGAATGACAGCCGAGGTGAAGATCGACGCCGATCGGGTGCCGTGGTCGCATGCGTGTGTTTATGTATGCACACCTCGGCTTTTGTCGACTCCTATCTATTGGGCCCCGGGGACTTTCTTTTTTTCGTGTTGTTTCTTGGGCTTAATTTGGCGGATCTCTTATGAACATGTATCAGAGGTCTTCGAAGGGTTATCCTCCTTTAATTCTATTGCCGTGTCGTTTCAACTTTTGGCCAGTTAATAATAGTTTTACTGATATACGATAAGCAAGTCTGGATATTATGGATATATCGATCCCTCTCTCTCTCTCTCTCTATTTTTTCGGGATGTTCCCCCTGTATACGAACAGTCCTCAATAGGGATTAGAGTACTCCCTATTATAATCCCTATGAAGGACTGTTAGTATAAGGGGTCCCAATATCATATCATATTATATATATATATATATATATATTTATCATTATTATTATCATCATTAGATTTGTATATATATATAAATGTAGAAGACAAGCAAGCAATCAACGGATCATAATCGCCATACTTTGGTAGACCCTGAGATGGTGCTGAGGATGGGAACCTGACCTACGGCTCGGGATAGCCATCCCTGGGCTGTCAGACGGCCACGTAATAGGGGCACCACAAGAGTGTGCAGCATGTCTGGCCACCGCCTGTGACAAGAGGGGTTTAGGGTTTAGGGTTTAGGGTTTAGGGTTTAGGGTTTAGGGTTTAGGGTTTAGGGGTATAAGAACAGAGAGTCCGGGTTCAAAAGGGTTTAGGTAAAGCCCATTTCCACTCGTAGAGCGCAGCCACAGCTAGTGGGCCTGGGGAATCTGCCATGAGATGATGGCAATAGCGGTAAAGAACCATGGGTGCCAGACAGACTTGGGAAGTACCCATCGACACCACGAGGCTGAGGATGCAGAATGCTGTGGGTTTAGGGTTTAGGGTGTAGGGTTTAGGGTTTAGGGTTTAAGGCTGTCCACAGCTAAGTCTGCCAAGTGCTTCATGCGTTGGAAGTCGTACTTCCACGCGGTATAGGCTCGATCCACCATGAGAGACCCCTTTTGATGGCCTCACACAGGTGCTTGTGTGAATTTCCCGCGTCGACAACAGGCATGCGCCTGATCTATTTGCACTATACTGCCCAGCTGCAAGCGGGCAGTCATAAAGATGTTCATAGCCTCAGTTCGTGCAGAGGAATTTTCATACCCACGCCTTCTGCGTGGACGTTGAGACCTATTCGCGTTCCATACCTGACTTGCTTGCGGAGCGGAAACAGGCATGACTCGAGAGCATTGCTTGCGGAGATGTCCTTCGACCTGTGATCCCGGCAGTACTTGCAGAACACTGCGGAACATGTCAAAGCACCCGTTGGGCGCAGCCTGCCCCGAATAAACAGGACCCCGGAAACAAATAGCACTTTGAGGCATTCTTGGCGCCCTGCGTGCAGCTGGCGGCACGCTGGAGCCTCAGGGCCCTAGTACCAGTGTGGCCAATGAAGTGAGGCTTTGATAGCGAGGAGTTCTACAGGAAAGTGTCAGCACTGGCGTTGGCGTTTGCCCTTCTAGGAAAAAGGTTCTGAGGGCAATGGACTTTGTCTGTGGCTTCAGAGCTGCAAGCTTGGGGCATTAACTCTGGGGCATTGGGTTTTCTTGCGGGGGAAGCCTGTGAACCCTATGAACATTGTGAACCCTGTAAACCCTTTCAGCCCTATGAACCCTCTGAACCCCATAAGCCCTCGCCTCTAAACCCCATAGACCCTCTAAACCCTGTAAGCCCTGAAGGCCCTCTAAACTCCATAGACCCGATAAACCCTATGAACCCCGATGAACCCCATAAGCCCTCTGGGCCCTCTAAACCCCGTAGACCCGATAAAACCCTGTAGACACCCTACACCCTACACCCTACACCCTAAACCCTAAACCCTAAACCCTAAACCCTAAACGCTAAACCCTTAAAACCCTAAAACCCTAAAACCCTAAAACCCTAAAACCCTAAACCCTAAAACCCTTGAGGCCCGACGCTTTCACCTTCAACGCCTTGGTCAGCTCCCATGACCGGGCCGGGCTGTGGAATGGCGCCCGGTGCCTGGAGTCTTTGTATTATGCGAGGGTTTAGGGTTTAGGGTTTAGGGTTTAGGGTTTAGGGTTTAGGGTTTAGGGTTTAGGGTTTAGGGTTTAGGGTTTAGGGTTTAGGGTTTAGGGTGGGAGGGTTTTTGGGGCTTGTAGGGTTTGGAGGGTTGAATGGGGGTGTATAGGGTTTATAGAGTCCATGGGATTTATGGGGGTTTATAGGGTTTATAGGGTATTGGGATTTTGGGCCTTATAGGATTTCTAGGATTTATAGGGTATGTTGGATTTCGGGTTTATAGGGGTTCTAATAGGCTATATCGGGATATGTTGGTTTATAGGGTTTATAGGGGATCCATAAGTTATAGGGCTTATCGGGATATTTTGGTTTATAGGGTTTATAGGGTATATTGGATTTTGGGGTTTATAGGGTACATGGGATTTTGGGTTTAGGGTTTACATGATAGGGTTTAGGGACCACGCAAGCCTGAGGCCAGGGTTTAGGGTGGGACTTTGGGGGTTGGGTTCCAGTTTTGCTTTGTTTGCGGTTTATGGGTTTGGGCTTTCGAGCGCCAGCAATTCAGCAATTCAGGGCTCGGCTGCTGCGCTCCTGACAGACTTGAGCTTGCGAGGGGCAGGGGGAGGGAGCCCCAACCGCCTAAGCCCTAAGCCCTAAAACCTGTCTTAGGGCACATGGTCTCTTACTATGGGCCCTTAGAATGGGGACCCCCAAGAAGGGTAAGGGACGATGAAACTACCCTTAGGGTTTGGGGTCGAGGTAGGCTTGAGGCACTTATGGGCCCGGACATGCCCACTTCCCGTTGCATTGGACGTGGAGGGCAAAGGACGCACTTCTAAGAGATGGCCAGTTCCCTCAGTTAGGGTAAGGCTCTGTATATGGAAACCTTAAACCCTAAACCCTAAACCCTGAAAGAAAAACTGCCCGCATGGGGTCCAATGACCGATGGGCTACGCCGAGCCCACAAAGCCACGAGAACTTTCGAGTCATTCTTGTAGTTGTAGTAGTTGTAGTAGTAGTAGTAGTAGTAGTAGTAGTAGTAGTAGTAGTAGTACATAGTAGTAGTAGTAAGGCCTCTTCATGACTTGAGAAGGACTGGGCTCTGTGGGCATACACTGCTCACTTTTTTTAGCTGAGTGAGCACACTTTACATTTTTTGTGATACTAGAATCCCCTCTAGAAATGAAAGTGTACACTTTTGGTTGGGGCTCATGAACCCAGCAACTAAGTTCACCACACCCCAGCCATTCCGAAAGTCGCCTCACTGAATGCCTTCACAGTCTGAGGCCTCGGAGGTACTCATGGCCATGCAAGGGTGTTTCCTGCAGGTGCGGGTTGTGCTTGTATGGTTTGGTTGTTGAGGGTTTGCATAGGGTGTAGGGCTCCGCGTCTTGGCATGCATGTGCACTCCTCAGACTGGCTAGTCCCCCAGCCCAGTTGCAAACGGGTTTAGGGTTTAGGGTTGGGGGTTTAGGGTTTAGGGTTTAGGGTTTAGGGTTTAGGGTTTTGCTTCAAGGCTTGAGGAACCCCAGAGAAGCTCTGGGCGGTCCCTGCCAATGAGGTGGTGATGGTGGTGATGGTGGTGATGGTGGTGATGGTGGTGATGGTGGTGATGGTGGTGATGGTGGGGGGTACTACTAACTCGTATTGGCAAGTCAGGAAGAGGGAGAACAGCAGCAGCAAACTGGCAAGGAGAGCTCCCCACGAACGGTAAAGTTTGGCCTGAACGCCCTGAATGCCAAGCAATAATTAATTATTAATAATGAATAACCAGTAATTTATAAATAACAATTAAGAATTAAAAATAATCAGTAATTAGTAAGTAATTCTGCGAGGCAGAGACCATTGGGTTCAACGCAGCGCTTGGCGCGGGACGGAGCGAGAGAGGCACTGCACCTCAACAGTGGGGCCCTACGAATTCTCACACCCCAAACCCCAACAGGATTCCACGAAAATCCAGATGTTAGGAGCTTGTCGATTTTTGGATGGCTGCGTGGGTGTGTGGCTGTGTGGCTGTGGGTGAGTGCGGGTGCGTGCGCGGTTTGAGTATTGGCATGAGGGTTCACGGAACTGGTGGGGTCGCGAATTTGTCATGGTTCTAAATGAAGCAAGATGCCTTATTCCCTCAATAGGGGTTGTTGGGCTCCCTGCATGTCGGCTCAGGTCCCCAGAACTGGACAGGCATTCGGGGTTCATATGCCTAAAATCCTGAAGGACAATAATCCCCAAATTGAAGTCTTTCGGACGATGATTCAAGCGTTTTGGTTCGTTGAAGCCCCCAAGGTCCCGAAGGTTGGGGGCGCTTGTGGCTAGGTTGGGCCACAACGCTGAGTCTGCTCTTGGCGCTCGGGGCTCGGTTGTCGCTACTCCCGGCTCATGCGATCCTGATCTTCTGAGATTGGGGTTTCGTTCACGAGATGTTCGCCATGAAGTCTCCAACGTTTCCTTGCAGAGAACAATGGATGAATAGAGCTCCGACAAAGCCAAATCCGGGGCTTGGATGATTTGTGAGAAACTTGGCGTTCCAGAGTCAATGCTGAAGAAGACACGTAAACACATTTAAACACATTAAACAATTTGTTCAATGTCAAAATGTACATAAATGCACAAATACATACGTATATATTTAGTTTATTGTACTGCTGTATATGTATGTATGTGTATATATATATATATATATATGTGTCCCTTACACACTTCCACACACATATAGATATATACACACCTTGCCTGTAAATACAATACATATGTGAGTGAGATATAAGGATACACACACATATATATATATATACATACATACATATATATATATATATATATATGTACGTATGGTTTTGTGCAGGCACTCATGCGGAGCTAGGACTACTGAATGGTCCACCAGGGTTTTCTGCACACCTCCCAAGCACCCTGCAAAATCGTGAGGATGGGGCATCTCCAAATCCGCGCAGACGTCATCTCCCTCAGTGCATGGCCTTAGCTCCGTACCACTTCTGGGGTGACTGCTTTGTTGAGGTTCCTGGCTGTCTATATATGCCATGCCCCACGCAAGTGCCGCCGCCGCCCCTCAACATCGATCCCGGACAAACCCAGAAGTCCCCAATGCCACTCTAAGCCATTCTGAGCCCCATGTAGGTAGGGAACTATCAATCCCGCTGTGCAGGGGTCCTTAGCCATAGTAACCCTCCCAGCCATGATTCTTGTGCAAACCCCCACAGCCCCGGTCCTTGCGCCATGCGTGGCCATGATGGGCCATGGCTGAGGCTGGCTTGCCGTGCTCTCACACTTGCCCCAAGAAGGTTAGAGTAGCTCCCAAAAGAGTGCTCTTGGGTGGAAAAACTATAAGGGTTTTTGTGGTTTGGGGGGAGCATGACTACAAGAACATAGCAATGTACGCAATGAACAGTGTAATTCTTGCTCAGATTTGGAGGTGATTTGCGCTGTTTGCTTGGAAGAGATCCTGCCGTCGGAGCGGCGCTCACAAGCAGCTCCAGACACTGGCTGCATCCACACATTCCACTGGGAATGCATCCGGCAGCTAAGTTGACCATGGCATGTGGGGTTTCCGAAATTAGGTACCTTATTGGGTCCTTACTATAAGGGGATCCTACTATTTAGTACTTAGGGGACTATATTGGGGGTCCCTTATTGTCGTAAACCCCCATGTGAACGGTGCAACAGTCCCGGGCACTATCCTACCGTGACACGGGGATGTGGATGATGTGAAAGGTGTTTTCTACTATTTGCTTAAGAACCCCAAAAGAATAACAAACAAGAATCGCTTTCTCACCCTTAATAAGAAAGAATATGTTGTTTTTGGGAGGGGGGGGGTTCTTAAGCAATTAGTACTGTTGCCTCTGTTTGGTCTCAGCCTTCGAATGGACCCGTCTGTGTAGGTCCACTGTTGATATGCCCTGGGCCATGGCCACGCATTCGACAAATGGGGGTTTCCGAAATTGGTGTACCCTTTTTTGGGGGGCCCCGGTGTAAAAGGGGTACCCCCATTTTTGGGACATGGCCATGACCTCGATCAAGCTGCTGGGATGTCACCATCTGATTGGAACACTCTACTGCTGAGGACATGGTTCCGAGTGAAAGCTGCATGCCCTATTTGCAATACATCTCTCCTGGAAGACGGGATCTTCGAAGTTGACCCCGAGACCGGACAGTTGACTGCAATCGAGAAACCATGGGGGCCCATGTCCATTGCTAGGTCCTAGCAGACTCCTGACTTGGTTCTAAATGTTTTTTTCAAGAACCCCGACCCTATACACGTGCGTCTCAGGCGAGCAGACCTACCATCGCATCCGGCCAGAAGGTGTGCGAGGCTCCCTCCATGCAGTGGCCGCAGCCGGCAACGCTGCCGACGTGCAACGCCTCATTGCCAGTGGGGCGAATGTAAACCGGACCACCCTTGGTGGAGTGGCGCCCTTACACATGGCTGCACATAATGGGCATGCGGAGGTGATCGCGAGGCTCCTGGCAAGTGCTGCGGAAGTGAACCAGCTGGCACCAGGTGGCACGACAGCTTTGTACATAGCAGCTCAGGGTCAGCATGCGGACGCCGTCGCGCGGCTTCTTGCGGGCGGGGCCTCTGTGAACTTGCCAGTCGACGGAGGCGGCACAGCTTTGCATGTTGCGTCTCAGAATGGGCATACGGAGGCTGTGGCCTGGCTGTTGGCAGGGAGTGCTGAAGTGGATGCGGCTATGGAAGGTGGCATTACGCCCTTGTTCATGGCCGCACAGAGCGGCCACATTGAGGTGATCGTCCGTTTGCTGGCGCAGGGGGCCTCCGTCAACGTAACAGCTGAAAATGGCGCCACGGCGCTGCACTATGCATCCCTCCATGGGCACGCTGAGTCTGTGGCGCGGTTGCTGGTTGCGCGCTCTGACGTCAATGAAACCACACGCAGTGGCGGCACAGCTCTCCACGTTGCGGCACAGAGCGGACACACAGAAGTGGTGGCCTGGTTGCTGGCCGGCCGAGCAGACGTGCACAAGGACAACTGCCCAGATCCCACACACCCTAAGGGTCCATGTGCCCAAACAGGGAATACTTGCTTTTGGGCCCAAGTGTATAATAATAAGGTACATGGGCCCTTGGGGAAAGTAAAACTTGCAGTAAAACCTAAAGTCTTAAGTCAAAGTTAACGCAATTCCAAACCAGACCCCACACACCCGAGACAAGGCCAAGTTCGGAAGCCTGCGAATCTTCACGCCGAAATCTCACGCCCTACGCTCTAAATCTCGTGAATTTGCAGGGTGTTGTGGGCGTCAGTTCAGCTAGCAGGCGGCAAACCAAACAAAACCAACCACCAAACCCTAAACCCCTAATGCTGCCTCCACGAACCTTGAATCCTTACCCTGCCATGTAGGAGTATGAGCGTCGAACCCCCCCCAAGGCCCCTATAACAACTTGAAACCGTAAACCCTGAGTCCATCCCAAGCCAACCCAAACCCTATAGACCCTAGACTAAGCCCCAAGCCTTAAACCCGGAACCCGAAACTTGATGTCCTTGAGAACCTGTTTTTTTCACGTAGAGCTGAGCAAGCTTTCTCCGAAGGTGTCGTACAGTAGACCCCGCAGTGCTGTGGCGAGTCGGCTGGCAACAAAAAACCTTCAACCCTAAATCCCAAACCCGGATCGCGCGCGGCCCTCAGATCATGCAGCAGAAACCCGAAACCCTATAAACTCTATATAAACTTTATAAACTCTATAAACTCCATGAACCCTAGACCCTCTGAGAGTCGGACAGGAGATGGTGGGTGGGTCGACAGCTCTCTACCTCGCCTCCCTCGGCGGTCATTCCGAGGTCGGCTGGGGAAGCTTTTTGGGTGTAATCGAACATGGGGTTAATCGGCTTTATAGGGTTTATGGGGTTTATGGGGTTGACAGGGTTGTATAGGGTTTTTATAGGGTTTATAGGCTTCTTATATGGTTTATCGGCTTTCTAGGGTTTATAAGTTACGGTGGTTGAAAGGATATTATACATTTCAATCAATGTATGGGCACCGGTTTAAGTTTGGGTCCTGTTGCACGTACATACGCCGCCCCATGTATATATTATCTTGCTAGATTGTCCCCAAGGGCCCCTACCGAGGCATGGGGGGAGCACCAAAGAAGGGCTTTAGGGTGTCAAGGGGACTAGAGGTCCTTTTGCAGGGAGGGTATGTCATGGGCCCTGGCATGTTAGAAGGCAAGTTTCAGTTGCCACTATGACTCGTAAATAAGACCTGAGGCACATGATCATGTGAAGATGGTTGAGGTCATCGCTTGGCTCCTCGCGAAGCAGGCCCTCGCCTGAGAAATGAGCGCGCGGAGCGCCCCAACGGAGCGTCAAAAGCCCAATGACTCACTCAAGCCGTAAGGGGCTGTATCTTCCCAAGCCAGCATTGTGCGGTCCCCAACAACCCCTGGCTGCCCTGGCTACCCTTCAAGATCGAGTTGTTTCAGATGCTGATAAGCAGGAGCCTCAGGCGATGGAAGGGTGCGCAGTCAGGTACGAAGCCCCGCGGTTTTGAGCACCGCAGTACTAGTACCGGTTAGCGCCTGGCTTTCCAGGCCCAGGCAGACGTGCCTCCAGCATCTGCATCTCCCCTGTACGCAGCCGTGCGCAGTGGCCACGAAGAAGCTGTAAGCAGACTACTTTCAGGCGAGGTTTGTTCCAATCAAGACGAGTTTCATGGAGGTTGTGGTGGCTTCGCTGGGAACTCAACTGGGCCTAAACCCGAAACTAGGGTTTAGGGTTTAGGGTTTAGGGTTTAGGGTTTAGGGTTTAGGGTTTAGGGTTTAGGGTTTAGGGTTTAGGGTTTAGGGTCCCTAAGTGCTCAGAGGCAACGCGGATCCCAACCGCCCATCATCAGTCCGGGGCCCCTCGCCGATGCGAGCGGCTGTGCTGAACGGCCACACGGAGGCTCTAGTAGTAGTAGTAGTAGTAGTAGTAGTAGTAGTAGTAGTAGTAGTAGTAGTAGTAGTAGTAGTAGTAGTAGTAGTAGTAGTAGTAGTAGTAGTAGTAGTAGTAGTAGTAGTAGTAGTAGTAGTAGTAGTAGTAGTAGTAGTAGTAGTAGTAGTACATAATCGGAAGTTTTGACTAATAATAGCAACAATACTAATAGCAATAATAATACTAATACTAATAATTAGAAGAAGAATAAAAGGAAATCGTGGTAATAGCAATCAGGATGGTAAGGATGATGGTGGTTCGGATGGTTTGGGGTTGATGTTTAAGTGGCCTTAGATTGGATACGGCATGTGGGAATTCGGGACCCATCTGTTGAAGGCAGTCCGAGACAGGCACCTGGTAGCGAATCACAACCCAGACCCCTCGCAGGATCCAACAAGTAGAGCCCCCAAATAGTACCCTATACGGCTTTGTTGGCTTAGTGGTTCTCGGTTTCATTCCGTAGTTTTGGGTCGCCCTTAGGAACCCTTAAGGGGATCTTTTTGAATCCGCGCAGGGGTCTGGGAAGTGAGCCAGTGGTCTTCCCCTGCCAGGTCATCGGGAGACTGGTCACTGGCGGCGCAGTTGTCAACCCAGATGATGTCCGATACTCAGAGAAGTCCCAGACCTCCTAAAACCTCCGAGTTGTGCGTGGAGCTTGTGACAGAAGTAGCATGCCCTTCAGTCCATTGAGAAGCATGAAAACAAAGAAGCTCTTCACGAGTTTGGCAAGGGATTATGGCTCCCAAAATTACGGCTCGGGCGGCCGGGGTGGGATTTCACGTTTCGCATCTTGGAAACTTGTGAAAGGCCTAAAGCTCAAAGAGGGATAAGCATGATAAGCCTTGCCAATTGCCACACACTACTCGGTGCCCAGACCCCTGGGAGGCTGAGGGCTCCGAAGAATGGCCTAAGAGTAGCGTAGGGTGCTACTTGGGGGGGGGGGGCGGGGCTTCTACTTGTTGGATCTTTTCAAGGGTCTGGGGTGAGCATGGGCCGGAATTGGCCCATCCTCTGAAGAACCGAAGAACTGACCACTTTTGGGAGACAAGAAATCGTTGTTGGGACAACATGAGCTGTATCCTTTGATCAAGGAAATGGCCGAGACTTTTGTAAAAGAAATCTGGGGGTGTGAAGGGGGCCAACGCACATAAGCAACAACAATGGCACACTCTGTTTGGAGTCGCCGATTTGTTTGGGGGCCCTCTGAACTTCTACGCCTCTCGAATCCAGCACTCCCCAAGCGCACCACCCTAAACCCTACATAGCCTTACCAGTTATCATGGGTTGTTTGTAGGGATTCTCCTCGCTATTCTTACACTTAATATTATCGTGATGTTTGAGCCCTGGATAAACCCTAAACCACTAAAGCGACTCCGCCTAGTGCAGGTCTGGGCTGCGCTGCTGCTGGGCAATTTGCGAGGCGCCAGGCGGCTGGCAAAGGCCTGGGGATATGAACGTCTATGCAAGAGAGGGAAGCCTCGATTTATATGGCTTAGGGTTTGGGGTTTAGGATTTAGGGTTTAGGACATGAACCCTAAAAGGTTTATGGTTCGAATCCCTTACTCGGAATTATTGTAGTAGTTAGAGAGTACATGACCCCAGTTTTAGGGTTCATTTGGGCCCCAAGGTATGAACAAAAGGATGGTTCGGGGTTTTCAGGGTTTAGAGCTTGGTATTTAGGGTAAAGGAAAGAATTCTGAAAAGGATTCGAGCTACGGGGTTTCGGGTTCACCGCAACGGCAGGAGACGAATGGGCTTCTGCTCCGTGTGGCCTAGGTACTGTATTCTGTATTCTCGCCAGGTCTCGCGTGAGAGCCGAAACTTTGCGACAGAATGATCCCTTTCGGGGGTCAGGTTCTTCTTGTTCTAGTGGTTCCAGTCCTCCCTTCGGCTTCCGTCTGCGTGCTGTTCTCAACCCTGGCCTGGTCGCGGGACGGAACTAGCTGGGGTTCTGCAGGGGCAGGAGCTGTGAGTTTGAGAGCCGGATGGCTCCTGCACAACACGGTGTGGCACGGTTTCCCTGCGGAGGGGGAGGGCACGGGGTTGACTGCGGGCAGGACAACTGTTCCCAAAGCCCTGGCACTCGAGGCGCCAGAGCTGATCTACACGACTAAGGTCCTCATTATCAAGTCTCCCCTAGACCACAAACCTTCTAGGACTGATTCAATCCCTAAAGCATGAACCGTAAACCGTTCAGGGCTGATTGAACAAGAAAGCTTCCAGTGGCAGGCTACAGGTTATTCCTGGGCCTTGCTGCGGCGCGGCTGCTGGCTTCTGGCAGGCAGGATCTCAGCTGCACTGTACATCGAACGTACGGCAGATAAGAAGCCGAGTCTTGTGCTTGGCCCTCGGCAGCTTTACCTCTAAGTCTAGTTTCGGTATGTTGGCTTGAGCTGAGCTCGGCTGCATCAGTTTAAATCCTCAGACCTCAGACTCAACTCTATCCCGGCTGGCTGCAAGAGACCTGGATGCAAAAGGGTTTCAGCTCGGGTTCTAACCAAGGGCTGAGGTTTTTCAGATCTGCAGGGTTTAGGGTTTAGAGTTTAGTGCAATATGACAGGTGTACAAGACCCACGAGCTTTTAAAAGGGTTCCACTTGCTAGTCAACATGGCATGATGCCACAAGAAACAACATGAAACAACCGAATTTCCCCGACTCTTGCAATTTCCGACTCAGCAAAACACACTTTGAAGTATCATGGTTTCCGGATTCCATGCGACACCATGTGACACCTTGGTTCCATTGACTCGACGCAAAGGTCTTGACACTTCGTTCCTGACCGGTAGCACCTCACCTGCCATTCGAGACCCCGAAGCGTTAGTGCATCTTGCTTACCAGGATGGGCTGTTATACCCAATTGATCCCTTATAAAAGGCCCTATTATAGGGTTCATCATGGGGATTTTATGGCCCATAATATCCCATCCTGGGAGGCCTGGTGGGCACCTGCGCCGCGACCTACGCCTTGTCGGGTGCACTCCTTCAGCGAGCCGTGGCGGAGCTGCTGCTGCTGGAGGGCCTCCCGCAGCCCATAGCCGAGTAGGCTTGAAAAGGGTGTGGGGCTTTTATGATGTCCTCCGAAAGACCTCGAGACCTGGACAACTTAGGTGTCAGTATGTAGGGCCACTTTCCTGTACGTTGCACTGGGGAGGTCTTATAAGGCAACGCTCCCGACACGGAGGGACGTTTGGGAGAGCCATACATCACGAAAGCCTTTCCAAGAAGGATAGTGTAGCAGATTGTAACCGGGTAGCTTATGTGACAGCACATGCTAAGGGATACTCGGACAGCTGCTCGTGCCTTTGTTAATCGAGCAGACTCAGACTGGTACGTGGCAGACCTTGCATGGACTTTTTTCAAGGTCACGGTCGTTTCCTGCAACATGCAGGTTAGCAGTCGCACGAGGCCGCCAGGCACAAACTTTCCTGCAGATACGGTAATTGACTTGAGGCATCAGAATCAGTCCTGTACCAATGCCATCCTCGTGAAAGTAAGTAGAGGGGCCGAAGGCCTTTTGGGGTTCTCTCGGTTCCTAAGATCGGGCAGTTTCTTGCAGCCTGGTAGCACATGAATGCCTGACGCCAGAAAATGCCAGAAAGACAGGCAAGCTGGACAAACTCGTGCAGGCAAGAAAACCAAGCATCCAGCTCGTGACGCCTGCGCGAATTAAGCTTCTAAGGTTCCCATCGCGCTTCCAGTGTGTTTGTGTTGCTGATGAGAAGCTTCGAGCATCTTCTGGTAGTCTGTTGCAGCAAGGTATACAGCATGTTTGTTCCAAAGTCGATGTGGCAATGGCTTCCCAACAAGTGTAGGAAGCAACACAGCTACTCGTAGCAGCTAGTTGGTTTAACCTGCCCTCAGGCAAGGGCATTGCATGGTAGTGATCCCCACTTCTAATCTAACTTCCAGACCAGTCAGTCACGTCTTGAAGATGGGACGCTCCTTGGGTCTTTCCTCCGCCTTCCGCGGCGCGAGCTCGCATGGCCTCCAGCCCTTCACTTGGCACGGCAGCTTGCGCACGGCATCGCCTTCAGAGAGCGGCTACGAGCGGCTGCTTCTGCCTGGGACCCTGGAGGCCCCGACCCGCCAAGCCCTGCGTTCCCTGGCGAGTGCGGCAGGGCTGCGCTGCGAGACCTTCGGCCCCAAAGCCTGCCGCCGCGTGATGCTCGCGCTGCCGGCCGAATGCAGCTGCTGCGTGAATGCACTTTCATTTCCAGCAACGGATCTCCTCTCCACCGAGCAACTCAGGGAAGCGCTCCAACGTGTTTTTGGATTCAGCCCCTTGTCGGACGACGACATCACGTGACCTGCCGTTTTGAGGCTTAAGGTCAGCTACAATCGTAATGCTTGGGTTGCCGGCGGAAAATGTGACGGACCGGCTGTTGATTGGGTGCTTTATGGCTGCTTTGCCTATAACCATGGCCATGTTCCTGCGGCGGGTTGTAGCTATGTAAGTTAGAGTTGGCGGCGCTTTCTCAGGTGCTTCCATGACCGCCTGCGAGAAGTCGCAACAATGGTCCTGGGCACTGAATCTGCAGCTCGGCGCACTCACTCCAAGTGGCAGAAGAGATGTTTGACCTCTGAGACAGTGGCCGCTCTGGGTGGGTGAGTCATGTCATTTAGGAAAAGCTGGTTTGATCGCTACGCGTGCACCCCTACAATAAACCGCATTTCGACCCCTTGAACTGTACCACTGAACACCCAAACCTGTTTCTCTGCAAATTGTTGTTGAAAACCTCTTCGTGACCGACAGAAAATATAGTCTTGGGTTCTTAGAGGAAAACCCGAAACTCCAAACCCTAGAAACCCTCAAATTGAATCCACAAGTGGCCGAGGTTGTCGCAGATGCCGCGAGTAGGCCGAGCGAGCATACGTAGTATACGTTAGTATACTATATCGTCTTGACATGTCTGCAAGATGCGCATACTGCATCTTGCAGTATGTATATATATATATACACACACATAGACTGTTTGGGATACGTATACTTCTGCTCACAGTTGCTCATTGGAGGTTCTCGAATCTATAGGGCGTGCATGCGCAGCAGGTGTGCTTCCTGGGCTGATTTCTTTCAGCCGGCGGCTTAATTCGGCCCGTCCAAGCACTCTGCGTGTCGCACGCATCTCGCCGGCCCAGGTGCAGGGATCAGTGCCTGTGAGAAGTTTGCTTCCCAGAGCTGAGAAAAATGCGCATCAATCAGTTTCATCATACACGATATCAGTAGTCAGGAGTCAGGAGATTCGAGCATGTGCTGATTTGCTTGGGCAAATAATGTATTGAGTATATACCCGAATAGAGGGAGCCGGCAGAGTTCCTGCCCTAAACCCTAAACCCTAAATTTAAACCCTAAAACCCCTAAACCCTAAATTTAAACCCTATAAACCCCTAAACCCTAAATTTAAACCCTATAAACCCCTAAACCCCTAAACCCCCATGAGGCGTGCGAAGTGGGAAGGGGCCTCATCTCTGCTGCGCTGGGCTTACAGACGTCTTCCCAGCCTCGTGCACATCCTGCACTGTGTTCCTCGGGGACCAAATGAACCCTCAAATTGGATAATATACCCTCTGCTACTCAGTTTAATTTCAGTAGACCCTAGCTATGCTACTGAATACCTATTTAGGTGTATGAACCACAAGCCTCATAAGGGAAATTGGAGCTAAGAGGTCACAGATGAGCTTCCTGGCTGTGCAGCCCAGCGTTCCAGCCTTACGTTTGAAAGTTGAGCGCCTCACATCAAACCAGCAGATGCGCAGCCCAGAATCCTCAACCCTTGTAGAGTGCCGAGGCACGTTATATGTATTATATATATATATAAGTAAGTGTATGTATGTATGTATGTATGTATGTATGTATGTATGTATGTATGTATGTATGTATGTAGATATATGCATAGAAGTACTCTGGTTAGTTGTTGATTTGTTGCTTCTCTCTCTCTCTCTCGCTCGCTCGCTCTGTTCTTCTCCCGGTACAACTACAAAAGTGTAAGCCACGCAAGCTGCTTTTGCAATTTCACCCCAGTAGTGTCATATCGTCTGCACGTCTGGCCTGTAGGGCCTAGAGCAAGCTGGAGGTCACCACCATGAATGCAGCAGCTTCGGCCTGCGCTCGGTCCCAAGCGCCCTTGTCAAGTCCCAGGCAAGCAATCATATTGAGGGGGCTGCTACTTGAAGGTTTCTGGGTACTTATACAAGTAGGGCTATACCCTAAATAAGGTTATGACCATAGTTACCCAAGTTATGGCCCTACTTCTGAGTATCCATGAACCTCCGAGTCGGGTCCCATAGTGGGCAGGGGTCAACAGGAAGTTTGAGTTTGGCCCTGCCTGTGGCACAGGCCCCCTCCAAAAAGGAAAGAGAGAATCAAGCCATAAAAAAAGCCAAGCCCTGTAAAAGAGCAGAAGGGTTTAGGGGTTAGCAAAAAGGGTTATGAGACCCACAGGCAATGCCTTCTAAACCCTGCCAGCAGGTTAACCAAGCCGACAAAAAAAGACCTCAAAACCTGCAGAGCACCTTAAACCCCATGAGTCCTGGCAAAAACAAAACCGATACAAAGCCAACCATGTAAGCCTTGCAAACAAACCGTAATGGTTTAGGGTTTCGGGTTTAGGGTTTAAGTTTTTAACCCCACAAGCCCCAAAAGCCCTACCCTCGTGGAGCTTGGCAAGGCGGGTGGTGTAAAAAAAACCAGCAAGCAACCCCAAAGCCGCAGTGGTTTAGGGTTTAAGGTTGAGGGCCTACAAACACCCTGTCGACCCTAAAACCGTATAGGCCCTATGAACCCTACATAGGCTTTGCTTAAATATACATGTGCACAGCAGTACTCCCCCAAGCAAAAGGGACAACTACAATAAAGCCAAACCCTATAAACCCTAAACTTGCCCTAATCCCTAACACCCTAAAACCCTAAAACCCTAATCCCTAACCCTAAACCCTAAACCCTGAAACGGGTGGGAAAAAAAACCTAGACCGTGGGAGCGACAAAGAGAAACCCTCAACCCTGAGGAGCGCGCCGGCTCTTGGCTCCCCGCTCTGGCTTTGCTCCGGGATCTGGAGCCGAGGCGGCCCATCGCAGTGGGGGGTTTTGTTGGTTTAGGGTTTTTAGGGTTTTTTGGGTTTTTAGGGGTTTTAGGGCTTTTAGGGTTTTTAGGGTTTTTAGGGCTTTTAGAGTTTTTAGGGCTTTTCGGGTTTTAGGGTTTTAGGGTTTTTAGGGTTTTTAGGGTTTTTAGGGTTTTTGGGGGTTTTAGGGTTATTAGGGTTTTCAGGGCTTTTAGGGCTTAGGGTTTTTAGGGTTTGGGATCCCTTATACTAGCAGTCCTTTGTGGGGATTCGAATAGGAAGTATGAAAATGCTTATTAAAGGACTGTTAGTGTACAACTGTCAGTATACAGCGGAACATCCCAATTGAGGCTTGTCGGAAAGGGCTTGGGGTGCGCTACTTGCCACTCCAGAAAGGGTTGTGAAGAAAACCTTCGGCCGGGCATTGGCGTCCTGCGCAATGAGCTGTCCGAAACCCTAAACTCTAAACCCTAAACCCATTGCAGGTCGCTGCAGGTTGTGGGATCCTCAGAAACCCAGTGAGAGACCAGACTTGCCGTGGCACCTGCAACGTGCCAAGTCAACGCAGAACACGGTATAACCCCCCCCCTCTAAGCCCTAGTGCATCTTTATACATACATGTCATATACTGTATTATATTGCAAAAATGTATTCTTTTATGGTATTTGCACCATACTTTACTTTGCTATGCCAGATAGTGTTCTTCTTTACTTTTTTGTATACTGCGGAAATATCACAGCCCCCCTCACCCCCCCACTTGGAGGTACCAATGCTAACTGTACTTATCTAAGTACAGTTATAAGTACAGTTATAGTTGGTAAATAAGTACCATGAACCTCCAAGTAGTCCCTAAACCCTAAACCCTAAACCCTAAACCCTAAACACGATTTTAAGGACTTGATCTCGGTGAATGCGGCCTTCGGAGCTTGCGATCGCAGTGCTCAACATCATCCCATGCAGGCCGCGGTGTGGTCTCAACCCTTATGAAGGTTTTAGGGTTTGGGGTTTGGGGTTTAGGGTTTAGGGTTTAGGGTTTGGGGTATTTTCGCTTCCTGGGTTTAAGAGGGTCTTATTCAGGAATACATTTCTCAAAATGTTACAGGGCCAGCCTTCTGAAGGTTTTAGGGCTTTGGAAGCCCTAGCCCTGAAATCCAGTGCAGGCCCCAGGTATCTCTAGGTTGACAGGTGCACCAAGCAGCGAGGCAGGGCTAAGTCTAAAATCTCCGCCAACCTTTAGGGTTTAGGGTTTAGGGTTTAGGGTTTAGGTTGCAAAGAGACCTTCACAAGCCCAGGAAGCCGCCGACTGCCCAGCCTCTTGTTACTCCTCCGAAGCCCCCTTTCTCATGATAGGATCTGGCGGCGCAAATTGCCAACCTCCTCGGAGACTTTACTTTCCAGCTCCGGCGCTCGGCGGAAAAAGGTGTATCCATGGAGACTCCCTGCTACCCGGGCATCCATACTTGCAGCTAGCACGCCGTTGTATGCACCACTTTTTGGAGTTGGGTAGTCTGGTGGTCTAGGCACATATTTCATTGACCCTAGCCGCATCTTCCATCGGCATGCTGGACTTGCGTGGCGTCTTGGCTGAAGGTTGTTGTCCTGATGTTTGTTCACTTCCATGGGCTCTTGTAGTCTAATAGCATCGGTGAATCTACACAGCGTCAATCGTGGGAGAGTATTTCACTTCGGCGTCGGTGTTTAGCGATCACGTGGCTGCTCGAATCTCTTCCAAGCTGAGTATAGCCATGGGTCAGGCACCGCTCTGGGCCCAGAAAGGTTAGTTTGCATCAAGCCTGCTAACGTGAGGGGGGCAGAGCACTTTTCTGTGAGATTCTGAGGCTTATGTCCAGCACAATCTGGATGCTGGATTCGGTCGTCTTCTCAGAACGGGTGCACTGCAGACGTCTGAGAGGCTCCGTGGGCAAGCGTAGTTGAGGCATCCGCGTCATCCAGCCTTCAGTGTTCTGATATCCGTTTCATGCGCTTTCGGGCTTCGGCGTATGCGATGCGGGTGGCAACAAAAGTTTGTGTACAGGACAAAGCCTTGCAAGCTGAGGTTCTTGGGCAACCAGAGGATGTGCCAATCCTTCCTGTGGCAGCCTCAGTGCGCCCACATTTATCCCAGCGCAGCTTCGCACTAAGCATCGAAGAACTGAAGTGACCCCCGTAATTAGCACTAGACCTGCAACCCCAATTGCCTACAGTTTAGTAGTACTTACCCCTTAATTAGTAGGTCCTTTCCCTTGCCGCCAACTTCAAGTGCGGTGCGAGGAGAGGTGCTGGTCTGAAAGCAGGTGTAACCAGAAGCCGGTAGGAGCAAGAAGGTGGGGCTTCGGTTCTGCAATCGATATAATCCCCTTTCCCCCTAATATTAAGCCCACCCCAACCCCCTAATCTTAAATACCCCCCCCCCCCCCCCTATACCCTAATCTAACTATAATGGCAGTACTGAATATGAGGGGGCCTAAAAATTTGGGGGCGAGGGGATTAGGCCATCTGCTGCGTGCAGCAGGTCGCCTAGTCTAGGGTGCGTCGCCCACGAACCCAAACCCTGGAAGCCCAGGAAGTGGAGCGCGTTTCGCCAAAGGCCGATAAATTCATCTTGAAACCCTAAACCCTAAACCCTAAACCCTAAACCCTAAACCGTCCAAGCAAGCTGTTGATGGCGGCGTCCTCTAAAATGCTGACATTCACTTGTTATTGGGGGGGGTCTTTTTTTTCTAGAGGGTTTGCTCACGAAAGTTGCGAACAACTTCCATGACGGGGACTTTGTCGGAATCTACCCTAAACCCTAAACCCAAAATAAAATCGGCCACGTTGGGTCACATGGCGTGACCACGTAGAGGCGGTGGATTTGCCCCCTAGACCAACAACAGTCATCCTGTACACTGTGTCCTAAATCCCCTTAAGAAAAAAAGAGCTATAGACCCTTCAACCCCCCCACCCTTTTGAACCCTTAAAAGCGAATCCCCTTAGCTAAAGAAGAGCTACAAACCCTCAAACCCCCAAGCCCTTGAACCCTTGAACCTAAATTCCCTAAACCCTAGACCCTTAAACCCCAAAGCCCTTGCACCCTTAACCTAAATCCCCTTAAGTAATACAGAGCTATAGACCCTTAGATCCCCAAACCCTTGAACCTAAAGAAGAGCTACAAAACCCTTAAACCCCCAAGCCCTTGAACCCTTGAACCGCTCATTGAAAGCCTAAACCCAAAACCCCAAAACCCCAAACCCCAAACCCAAAACCCAAACCCCAAACCCCAAACCCCAAACCCCAAAACCCAAACCCTAAACCCTAAGCCTAGAGCGACAGGTGATACGCATCCTGGGACAGAATCCGGGCCAGCTTACGCTTCAAGGCTCGACTTGCTTATGTTGGCATTGTGGGTTAGGCTTTTGGACTCTAATGAATTAAGAGTTGTTTGGGGTTTAGGGTTAGGGTTTAGGGTTTAGGGCTAAAGGTTGGGACGTTCCCCCTTATGCTTGCAGTCCTTAATAGGGACGATAATTGGGGGGGGGGGGGGGGGTACTATAAGCCTCCCATTATAAGGACTGTTAGTATGAGGTGGAACATCCCAACCTGTGTATGTTGAGTTTGGGGAGATCTCTGTTCGAACGGGCTACACTAGGGCTAGCAGGAGATGCTCCTTCCACCCTGTAGCGACAGTAACTAAGTCGCGCAGCCCGTCTTAAGACCGCCCGGCCGGCGACGTGGATCTTTGGAACACCCATCCCCAAATCCTAGCTGTGACAGGGTGGTAGTTACCAACAGCTTGGGATACTTGACGCAAGATGGTAATGTGTGTTAGGCTTTTGGACTTCAATTTTGGGCTCTAATACAGTAAGAGTTGTAAGAATGTAAACGCTGGGTGTGCCTCGTCTGCTTTGCTCAAGCATAAGATTCGGAACCCTTGAAGCTCCAATGCCAAGTTCCTAAACCCTACTGGATGCAGGTACGAACACGTATCTCGTCGGCGAGGGCCGTGAGCGTCTACTCATCGACACCTCCGATGGGAACTCCAGCTGGTGATCACCTTACTGTGGCACACACATATGACAGATGAGTGGCGGACACTGCTTGAGGTTTGTTCAATCATGAACTGGAGTGACGAGTGTTTTGAAAGCAGACTCCGTAAGAAGAGGAAATCGCGATCTGCGCACAAACCGCAGGTGGCCCTTGGTTCAACGAGCAGGAAGCTCAGATGCTGCTGCCTACGTTCGGCGAGCCCATGGTCTGTGTGTGCGCGTACACGTTTGCGTATGTGTGTGTGTGTGTGTGTGTTTCTCTGCGCGTATGCGTATTCTTTGTGTGTGGGCTGTTGTCCGCTTGATACCCGAGGTGCTTGCAGACGAGTCTGCCGAAATCACACAGGTGCACCCAGCTGTGATGCATGTGCACTTTATTATCTTTATTAACTCTTGTAAGGAGCCGAGCAGTTCAAGCTGTGAACCATGCCTGATCCAAGCAGAACGATGTTGCTGGCGTTGGGCTCGAGCCTATACGCACAGCGCGTCTTTCGATCGCTTTCGAGTGACTTGGATGAGGAAGAGGCACAACCCAGTGAGGCAAAATCCCCGCAAACACCGGCATGCCCAACAGTCAGAAGAGCACATGTTAAAGCATTGCTCGTCCAATAGATGGCTGCAAGCGACCTTATGACCCTACAAAGCTGTAACAGTTAACACAAGAAAAAAGCAGACACCCACCTCGAGTAGGAGAAATCCCCACATCCTACACCCGCCAAGGCTGCCCCAGATCTTAAACATGAAGCCTTGTAAGTAACAAACCTGCGACTACCCTTCGCACATTTTGTCACACTCCTCCGACTCAGGTCAGGCCTTGCCGGACCATCCGGTTCCACGTTCATCTGCGAGGCTGTCGGGCTTTCGGGTTGGGGGTTTGGGGTTTTCGGGGTTTTAGAGACGAGTATTTGGGGCTGGTTTTCGTGTTGAGTGTCAAGGGATGCTGAGGCTGCTTTAGGCTTGTGGGTTCAGCTTCTGCGCGCTTGCAATGCATTGCAGGCTGATTGGGAATTTCGAGATACGACCACAGGTGATGACGAAGTACTCTACTCGTATCGATGCTGCCGACTTCGCGGACGGCCAGAAAACCTGCTGCATGCTGCCTCTACGCCTCTCGGAGTAATTGGACTTCTGTCTCTGCACGTCCTTTACCTTAAACCCGGAATTGACAGGTCAGAGCTAAGACGGCCAGGAACATGTCAGATTGAATTTGCACACGGCATGTGCGAACTGCCGAAGGTTGGGCGACCGTTACCTTTGGCATTGTGTTCGCTGCGGCTGGGGCATGCCAGCTTGTCGAGCAGGTGCCTGCTCTCGGTCTGACAGAGTTCAACCCCTGACAAAAAATCAAGTTCTGAACGCAGGTAGGTGGGTCTGCGGATTGGTTCATTGCTCGGAGAGCCAGTCTTAAGAATGCCCTGACACTCACATCACTTGCGTTTTGGCTGGGCCTAGCTTGCTAGTGGTATGAGACTTTGAGGCATAGCAGACCTGGTGTCGGGCCATCCTTGCAGGTCTACCGAGCCAATGGCGGGTCCGTTGAGGGCTACAACTTGCAAGAGAAGAGAGTCTCAGTCGCACAGTTTCAATTTGCGGATCCTTAGATTTTATGGTTGCTCGAGAATTTAGGGCCACCCTCTCGCAGCATCCTGTAGCCATCTGCCTGGTTGCTTTCAGGCCCGCTGCAAGCAAAAGGGACGTCCTCATAAGTGCCACTACAGTCTTGAATCCACGCGAAGCCTTGCATGCTTTGGAATAATTCCCCGCCTTCCCGTTTCTTTCGGTTTTGCCGGCTAAGGTAACAGCACGCTGACCCTGCTCGGACTGGCATGCTGCATGCTCCTGTCTGGCGTGTCGGGATGCGTGGGCCGCGGACCCAGACATCAGTAGATTCTGGATGGTTTAGGGTTTAGGGTTTAGGGTTTAGGGTTTAGGGTTTAGGGTTTAGGGTTTAGGGTTTAGGGTGTAGGGTGCAGGGTTTAGGGTTTAGGGTTTAGGGTTTAGGGTTTGGTGTCACAAGTCACCAGTCCTTGGATCGTTGTTGAAGATGTCTACTGCCATGTCCTCGCATCGACGCAGCGAGCTGCTGATAGTCACACCACACGCTGCGTGAGCACCATATGGACGAGGTGCCTTCTTCGAGATACGGCATCCAGTCACGTCTCCTGGATGTACCTGGTAATGTCAGGGCAGGGTAAGGGATTCGGATAGGCCGTCATCCCTACGTACCCATAGCGCACTGGAGACAAAGACCTTGGAGCGGACTCAGGGAAAGCGACTGCATGAATGACGACGGTTCTCCAGCCAATCGATTAGAATATGCATCTATCCTGTATGGGGATGAGGCTTGGAAATGACTCACTCGGATCTTCGGAGAAGTCACGCACCAGCGCATGGTCTGTTAATTGTGTCGGCATGATATTGATACACGTCTCCGCAGTTACAGTGCGCGCGTCCATACACGAGTTGGAAGACTATCCGGGGAGATGCAGGAGATGAACGTTTCAAGCGGGGGAGGTATGTTCTCTCAAAGTCTCGCCTGTGTCTTCCTATTATCATGCAAAAGCAGGAATCTATCGACGCGCCTGTAACTGCGCAGCCTTTGAAGCGACAGTTAAAAGGCCGATAAGTCGCAAACCACGAGCCCTCAAAGGACTGAACACCCAGCGGGTTTAGGGTTTATGAGTTTAGGGTTTAAGGACCCTCACCCGTAAAAGAGTCCCAGCTGAGTGATTCGCCCAGCTTTGCGGGTGGGCAAAAATTCCGACACAAGTGTTGGGGGGGGGGGGGGGGGAGCTACTTGGGGAGACGCAGATGTCGTATATATAGATACAGTAGGGCGACGCAGATGGGGCGGTGTCATCGTCGAGTAGGTTGGGGACACTTCCTAGAATAAGATGATTGCATCATTTCTAATACTGGCATAAAGAAAATAGCACTGTAATCTATTAGTAGGCAAGACTATATCTAATTACCCAAACGGTTCCAAGCAGGTTCTTCGCGCTGATGCTCCTCTTTCAGTGCTTCTTGGAGATTGCGTGGTTTGTTCTCGAGGACCAAAATCCCTAAACCCTAAAGGATTGCACGGTTGCACAAAAAAAGAAGCTTCGCCTTCAGGACTCCACCGGGACTTTTGCCGACCTTTGGCGTATGCTTTGGTCTGAGATCGTTCTAGGCGTCTTGGCTTCTGGGGCCTGGGGGCGGGCCCTAAACCCTAAACCCTAAACCCTAAACCCTAAACCCTAAACCCTAAACCCTAAACCCTAAACCCTAAACCCTAAACCCTAAACCCTAAACCCTAAACCCTAAACCCTAAACCCAATACGGGGAGTATTGCTCTGCCGGGTTTTGCTCGGACATGCACACAACTCTGACTGGCTTTCTGACAAGGCAATCGTTCTACAAACAGCCCTGTGGCCGTCAATCTCTTCTACACCCTGATGTCCCTGAACATACACCTTTGGGCCTGTGGCGTTGTGGCCAGCTACGCCACTTGGTGGCATGGGCTCATGGGAAGCAGGTTGCCCTGCCCCCATTCTGCATCTAGGTCAAATTTTGCGAGCCCTGGGGTGCATCGCAGGTCGGTGGCAAGAAGCTGCCACTTTCTGCAACCCCTAAACCCTGAACCCTAAACCCCCCCCCACCCCGCAGACCTAGTAAACTTTAAGATGCCCGATGCCCTTGACCAATGTGCAGAGGATTCTTTGGGCCAGAGGGGGTGGGGGAGTTCGACAAAGCCCTAAACATGCGGAGTGGTTCATCCAGCTATGGTGGTCCCACCTTGTGTGGCCGGTCTGCTCAAAAACCGAAAAAAGAAACCTAAGCCCCCCGACTGCACGGTGACCTCACATGAGTAGGGCCGAGTAGGGTATTGCATCTCTCCAGCGTGGCAAAAGCCCAAGTGAACCCCCAACCCTAACCCCAAAAAACTGTGGCGACAACCCCCAAAACCCCAAACCCTAAACCCCAAATGGCACAAAGACCCAAAACCCTAAACCCTAAACCCCCAAACCCCCCCCCCCCCCCCCCCCCCCCACCCCAAGATCGGTGTGCTTTCCCCCAGGCTTTGGAACTGCGAGTCGCCGGCAAGACCGTGTGGTTCGAGCCCATTGATGACGACGACGATGTGGAGGACCTTTCCCCTTGGGGTGTTTGAGTTTAGGGTTTAGGGTTTAGGGTTTAGGGTTTAGGGTTTAGGGTTTAGGGTTTGGGGTTTAGGGTTTAGGGTTTAGGGTTTAGGCTTTCATGTTCCCTTAAGAACCCCAGAGCTGGCCTTTTTTGCGGGGTATTCTAGTACAGCCCCTACTACAGGGTTCTTACGACACTTACAAAAGCAGGTCGGCTTTTGGGTTCTAGGTAGGCTTAGGGTTTCCAAATGTTTGGGCTTGTTGATAATGTCTACGGTGCGAGGTGAAGCCGCCCTGGGCTGAACAAGGTTCAGGGTGAACAAGTGCGTTCTTTGGGTCCTTTGAATTAGGGTCAGCCAACAGTTTTTACTGGAGTATGCCACTTTTCTTCGGTTTGTTGTTTCATCTTCTGGCCGTTGGAGAGAAGTGACTTGAGCAGCATAGACTTGATATCCAAGAAGTAAGCTCGGGGGAGGCGGGCCGCGGGCTGGGAGCTCGGAGCTTGCATTTTTTGACTCTTCTTGTCAAGGCCCCCAAACCCCAAACCCGAACCCCACCTCTGGCCTCTTGAGATTCTAGCCCTCCGCCCACCAGGAGGCAGCTGAAACGCCACTCAAGGGTCAGGAGACCACACAGGGCAGTGAGAGTGCTGAAGGGTATGGAGCCACCCCGGCATAGAGCCGTAGAGGTCACAACAGCAGCAGAGAAGCCGCCCCGCGAAGAAAAAAAGACAGCGCCTCTGCTCCACGTCTTAAGGTGTTTCATGAGGCGGCCCCGCAAGGGAGGGAAAGAGAAGGGAGGAGGAGAGGGAGAGGGAGAGAAACAGAGAGAGTCGCGGAAGCTAAGTGATGTGGGGCTTCATGGGTTGTGTTCGATTGCATCATTTGGGGAATTTCGTACACATGCAGTCTACGGACCAGCAGCGTGACTCGGGCGCGCCCTGCACGTGGGAGTCTTAGGGCTCCCCATCAGCAGAAGAAGAAGGAGACGAAGAAACAGTGAGTGTGTGTGTGTGTGTGTGTGTGTGTCTGTGTCTGTCTCTGTCTCTGTCTGTGTCTGTGTCTGCGTCTGCGTCTGCGTCTGCGTCTGTGTCTGTGTCTGTGTCTGTGTTGCGTGTGCGCGTGATTGCTCACTGCGTTGTTCCAGGGTACGCTGTTGGTGGTTCTGTTGTGCTAGTGCGCCGACGCCCGTGTTGCGACGCAAGCCTTGCGCCAGGTGGTCATCACTCATGGCCATCGCGACCAGTTCTCAGAGCAAGCCATTGATGCAAGGGATATCCAGACTTCTTGTGAGTTTGGGCCGCTGGCGCATCGTTGCAAAGGACCATGTTGGTGGTCTGGACGATCTTCGGCAGGTTTTTCCGAAGGCATGCTGGATGCCCCTGAATGGCTGCACACACCTAAACCCAAAACCCTAAACCCTAAACCGACCAACATGCTTTGCTTGGATGTCCGGGTTCCTCGCAAGTTGGTCAGGGCCCAACCTAAGGGACATACAGGTAGGACACTGCCAGAAGCGTCCAACATCTGAACGCAAGGGCACATCAACTGATTTCTTAGATTGCAGAGGGTTTCTGTCATGGCCTTTCTGAAGCTCTCTAGACCTTAGAATCAAAAGCTTGAAAAGCCCGAAGCCCGATCTTTACGGAAGTGAGGCCCTTTCTTGGCTTGACTTCAGGCAGTGGTTCGAAAGTGGCTACCTTGCGCCAGGGCCTTCGGACGTACCACTTGAACTTCGGGTTTAGGGATGCTTGGGAAGTTTTGGGAAACCGAGCTGTAAACCCTCATAAGGGTTCAAGCAAATGGCAAATGGGCTTGCGACCTTAGACACTAAAAACCCTAAACCCTTCCATGCTGGGTTGTGATGCCCATTCCTTCAACCCTAAACCCCAAACCCCAAACCCCAAACCGCAGCTCTAAGGCTTCCAGTGAGGATGACTGTTCACAATTTGCCCCGGACAGCCTCACCAAAGCTTTTGGAAGTGTGAAGAGGCGCAGGGTCGAATTCTTCAGGCCTTTGTGGCTGGCGGAGCAGGCTAAGTGCACATTATATTTTGTAATACATATATATACACACATATATTATATATGTATAATATAAATATCTATAAATATGTGCTCCCCGTGCACATTATTTTGTAGAATATATGTCGTGCCCGCGCTTTAGGCGGGCACTGGCCGCAAAACAATTGGTCCTGAAACCGGCAGTTTGCACTGCAATTTCCGGGACTGTTGGGCAGTCGGGCAAAGGAGTGAAGGACTGACGTTCGTTTTGAAGACTATGTTGCACAGACAGAAAACACAGAAAACTCCAGTGTTTTGGGGCATGTTCGCCAAAGGCATGGACGCTTGTGACAGCGTGGCTTGTTTCACATCCTTGTAAGTACATGTTGTGCAGAGGGGCATGGTCGTTAACGGCGATGCCAGAAATGCGCACGGGCAGGCTTACACACACAAGTGCAGACATAATGTCACGCATCCATTCATCCATCAATCCATCCATACACGCCTGCATGCACTCATGCAGGCGCACGCGTGCTCACAGAGACTCTACGAGACACAGACAGACAGACACATAAAGCAAATACTTGCATTGACATATCTGTTTGCACGCCTGTATGTATGTATACTTTCTAACATCCATGCATACCGAGCAAGCATGTGTATATGTACAGTCAGGCAGATGGAAGTAGATGCGTGACAGGGGCTCTTGCGGATGTGACGAGAAGGCCTTACACTTGCTGTGCAGTCGATGCATCGCACATGCACTAGGGCAAAGGCGCATCAGAAGGAGAACACATGGACACAGGTACCTGCCGATTGTCTGCCCTTGTCTGACAACGGAGCCGGGCACTTGTTCAGATCACCATTCATGAATACATCCCTGCAGTACTTGAAAGCAGTCAAATTCAGCTTCAGGCACATCGAAAGTATAGTAAGTTTCGAGCGGATGCCAGAAGGACAGGCTCCTCAACACTTTGCGGGCTCCAGGTGCTCGAGGTCGGAGATTGCCAGCTTCGGGTGCTGCTGACGCACGGTTCTTGGAGGGTTCGTCTGAGCACAAGGAAATTCCCGCCGGTTCGACATGTGCAGGCGTTGCTTGTGGCCCGAAAAGCCCCATCAACAGCATGCTTGGAGGTTCGCGGGCACTTATCAGTAGGGTTATAAGAGTACCCTACTTCTAACCCTGCTTCTCAGCATCCGAATGAACCTCCGAGTGATAAGATTTCACATCGATGTCCATCATGCCTGAGGCCTGGTCACAGTTCGACACTTAGCATATTGCGTTTGCTCATCGGAAAACCTTGTTTTCCGATACCCGCCACGAGTCCACAGTCAGGTTCGGATAGCATTTGCCTGGCCTTGGAACACGCCATGCCGGCGAGTTGCATGTTGATTCCGTTGTCTACGGGCGTCTTTCAGTTCAGATCCCAGCAGCAACAGGACAACATCACGGAAGCCATTTTCACCGGTGACTCTGCCACTCGGTGGCAAAAGGAAGTATACATGAACCTTCCGTATCGGCACGCGCTTGACGGGGAGGTTTTGCTGCTCCGAAGGTACTTGGAGGCCGAACTGCTCGGTTCGGTGACCTGGCTGCGTACAATGTTTCTCTACGCCGGCTTCAAAGGCTCCTTGAAGCAAGTAGCCCTGAACCCTAACCCCGTTGGCATTCTGTGTCTGGCAATGCGTGCAGGCTGGTGGAACAAGCGGACGGCACTCGGTTGCTGTCTTCGGCTAAGACATCAAGCCGGGATTGTGTTCAAGTGGTGCCATCACGTGCCCCTGCACCCGACATGTCCAGGCCCGGCCATGGCGAGGTAATTGCCGAGCAGGACAGCAAAGCGTGCCTTTGGCTGGATTATGGCCGTACGGGTTTGTGCAGTTCATTGTGATCTGGTTCTTGGTGGCCTTCGGCGATCGCATGGGGTTGCTTGATCTGTTAGGTGCTACTCCAGTTAAAATCGTGCATCGGCCATGTGCTCGTGGTTTGCTCAGGTACTTGAGATCCATTTGCCGCATCCAGACCAACAGGGAGAAGGCGCGCAAGCTGGAAAGACATATCAGTGACCTTCCAAAGTCTAGAAGTGTGGGACGTGTGGGCATGCACCATGCCGTCCGACGCCATGCACAATCCCGGTACATGGCGATCGTGCGGTCGTGCTGCTGAAGGCATAAGCCCTCAACCCTGGATCCAAACTCTATTCACTCTACTCTTGCGCAGGCTGTACTCAGAGTGCTGAAGGCTGGCTTGTATTTGGTTGAGAATGCGAGGGAATGGCCAGATCGGCTTAGGGTGAAGCTGACCCAAAGTCGTCAGAGCCCACGCAGTCTAGATTTCACTACTGCCAACCTCTGTACAAAAAAAGCTGCCCGGTCGGATGCAGCATGATGCACCTTCAACAACAAAGAACGAGATGTATTGTCGCTCCAAGTTCTTCGTTCTCCTAATTCCAAGCCCGGCCTCGAAGCATTAGCATCGTTTGTAGATCACACTTTGGTAAACCTGCCAAGCATTTGCCTGCTTGAAGGTGCATGGGTACTTACAAGTAGGGTTATGTATCTTAAGTGAGGTGATAACCACGGTTATCCTACTTATAACCCTACACATGCCACTTATGAGTACCCATGAACCTCCAAGTGACCTTGAGCCCTAAACCCTAAACCCTAAACCCTAAACCCTAAACCCTAAACCCTAAACCGCGCGTGTGAGAATCGAAACCCTAAACCCTAAGCCCTAAACCCTAACGGTCTCTCCAGCTGGGCAGGTCTCGCCCGGAACCTCCACGGACCTCTGCGCCGCGCTCTACGGAAGTGGGACTGCCGCAATGCCCTGGGCCCAGCTTCGGGCTGCACCAAGAAGCGAGCTTAGGGTTTAGGGTTTAGGGTTTAGGGTTAAGGGTTTAGGGTTTAGGATTTAGGGTTTAGGGTTTAGGTTTAGGGTTTAGGGCTGTTGGTTTTTAGTTTTGGGGGCATGTGTCCTTTCTGTAAGGACTTGGTGACATGGTGGCTGCATACAAGGATGGGCTATTGGGCCTTAGAATCCGCATAATCAACCCTATAAATGCCTTCTTAGGGGTTTCCAACCCTAAACCCTAAACCCCAAACCCTAGTCGCCCATGCTGGTAGGAGGAGAAGAAGTCATCTTTTCAAGTCAACCGCGTGTTTGGAGACGATGCCAAGGATGGCCCGTGAGCTGATTGAACAGCATTTGGAGGTGCCCCACACTGCATGCTTAATATGGAGGGGGGGGCTTTAATGATAATGTTTTGGGGAGGGGCCATACGACCCTTACGTTATTCTTCTTCTTCTTCTTCTTCTTATTTATTATTATTATTATTTGGATTATTATGATTTATTATGTGCCCTTGCATCTCCATTCAGATTTCACAGGTTGCAAGGCATAACCGCAGGCAGCGAGAGGAACCCCAGAGTCGGCGCAGTTTTCTCAAGCAATACTGAACGGCCTGAAGCTGCGAGGGGTTTAGGGTTTAGGGTTTAGGGTTTAGGGTTTAGGGTTTAGGGCTTAGGCTTGACCAAAGCCCGAAATCCCGAGACGCCCTAAACCCCTGGGTACTTGCAGTAGAAGTGGGGTTATAAGCAGGCTGGTTCTGGACATCACCTTAAGATACTTCTGACAACACCCCGCTTGGCAAAGAACGAACCCTACGTGAAACCTTCAAGTAAACCCCGAAAAATAATAAATAAGAAGAAGAATCATAATAATCCTAACAATAATAATAAATAATAATAATAATAATAGTAATAATAATAATAAATAATAATAATAATAATAATAATAATAATAATAATAAACATCCCAAGAAGCCACGCCTTCGCTGTGCTTCTGTAGCCAGGACCTGCGGGCTCAGGGCCGGGCCAAGAGCAGCGAAGGATTTCTGGGAACGCGACTTGGTTGGAAGGTTTAGGGTTTAGGGTTTAGGGTTTAGGGTTTAGGGTTTAGGGTTTAGGGTTTAGGGTTTAGGGTTTAGGGTGATAACTTCAGGAAGCCCCCCAAGTCCCGTTAGTTCGGCCCCCTACCACCTGGATGTGCTGAGAAAGGAAGGACCCGAAGTCATAGACGGGCTAGATACATCTTCAGAACCAGGCAGGACTTGTTGGGAAGTGGCCCTTCCACGTCTCAGCATTGAGCCACCTGCTGAGCTTGGGGTTGAGGGTTTCGGGTTTAGGGTTTAGGGCTTTGAGCTTCTTGAGTTTGCGAGGGTGGCCAAGATAGATTTGGATCGAAAGGATATTGAATCGGGAGCATAGGACACGTGGCCAGAATCTGCCGAAGACCACTGCCACTTGATGCAGGATTTGGTGGGAGGCGGTGACGTTTCTTCCCTTGGAGGCTTAGTGCTTCACTGATGTTTAAACTTGTCCACGATAGCTACGGTAAGGCCCCCATGCAACAATTGTCGTGAGGCCTATACTTGCAATTTTCTCATTCCCTATTGAACCACTCGTACTGCATGGCGGGCCTATCCGACGATACTGTTTATTCCCGCAGCACTGCTGTGGAAGTGGAGCGAACCCCTAAACCTACCAAGACAACCCAAAACCTACATCTTCACAGTTATAATAAAGCGCCTTCTAGAATTCGTAGGTAACCTACAAATCAAGGTTTTGGGTTCACAAGGTAAGCCCTAAACCCTAACGCCTGGGTTAGCTTTGCTCCACAATGTGCTTGGGGTGCGAGGTTTGTTTTGCGGTGCCGAGATCACTGCCAGTCAATCCTCGCTAGATTCAACGAGCATGATCTGTGTCTGCAATCAGTTGCTGGAAGCAACGGTGCAGAGAAATTAGCATTCTGGTGACGACGCGTACCATAGTTGCGCTCTCACCAGCGCGGAACAGAAGCGGGCACAGCTGCGCATCTGAGTCTTTCAGAACCTTTGACCGTTGCTGGGTGTTCTTCCCGATACAACCCCCTTGAGCTAAATGCCAACCCCCCCCCCCCCCGTGCCCCCTTTTGGCCGGACCTCTCCTCCCCTTTGAAACCCCAGCCCCAATACAAAGACTTGGACACGTATTTGGTCTTGCCGGGCCCTATTTTCCTTGTTTTCCTTTTTAGGGGGGCTCAAATTTTGTTACGGTGGAAGGGGTTAGTTCGCCTAGCTAGCTGGACAAGTACGCCGCCCTGAACGGTGATACTTTGCCCGCATGCGGGATGTGTTTCGGCTCCCTTCTTGTCAGACTGAAAGCAAACACGCATCTCCGCAGACCAGCGACTCCACACTCCCGCCCCAAGAAGAGCTCGGGGGTGGTTTGGCTTCCGTTTTGGGCGAGACCAAAAGGCGTTTTTCCAGGCAAGTTAATGCTGGGTATCCTAGTTTAACACCCCCCCCCCCTCCCCACCTGACTTGGCCAGATTCTCCGAGACCTCCATTCCGCCTCTGAACTTAGGGTTTAGGGTTTAGGGTTTAGGGCTTAGGGTTTAGGGTTTAGGGGGCAGTACCCCTCATACGCTCCTAAGCATGACGGCCATGGTGCCGGAGCCTGCCCGGGGCCAAGTTGTGCCGATAAATCTGGCAGCCAGTACTTGGAGGTTCGTGGCTGCATGTAGAAGTAGGGCTGTAAGTAGGGTAACTATGGGGTATGACCTTACTTCGGGCGCTCATAACCCGAGGTATAAGTACCAGGGTTTCTGGGTCGCTCCACACTGGAAAGCTGGCGGGCGAGTATAGTTCTACAGAGTGTTTGTCTGGTGGGGTGCCCATGATTGCATTGAGGCCCCCACCTTGAAGAAGATCCAGATACCGCAAAAGGACATTGATGCCGGCTCAGCTTTGCTTGGAGCGTTGTGGATGCGAGTCAACCCTCAGGATTTCGACTAAACAATGTATTGTGCTTTGCTTTCGCGACATTTACATGTCTTGGCAGTTTATTAGTCAGGGGTTCCAGCATATGTGTGATGTGATGCTACCTACTTTGTCATGCTGTCCTCCTGCCTTTGTGTGCAATCGCGTCACCCGCCCCCTTTTTTTGGCCCAGATGCCAGATGTCTCGAATTGTTTAGGTGCAGCCAAGGCCACTTAGCCATGCCTGTGTTGGCGTTGCAGGCAGGAGACGAGGACTCTTCCGATGAAGATGAGGAGGCCAGGTTGCAGAGGGAACGGCAGCAAAAGCAGGATGCATACCGGCAGAAGACCATCGACATGGAGCTTGCAAAGCTTACAGGCATCAAAGGTGTTGCGGTACCAAACCGGCCAGCACCGCCACAAAGCCCAGGACTTAGGGATCTTTGGGAACTTTTTTTTTATTGCTTGGGTACCATAACTCCTAGTAAACAGTCAAAACTTATACATTTCCTAGGGTTCCCAAGCTCAGTATGGAGGAAGGACCAAGAAGGCCATTCCAAACGATTTTCTCGTTGCAAAGCCGAAGTCGGCTCTGGAGCGAACCCTGAACAGCACATTGGGACGATCCTTGACGGTCTTTGTCACAGTCGTGAACTTTGTCGTGCCTGGGTAGGCCCTTGGGATTTTGTTTTTGTGTTCTATTTGTTTTTGTGCTTAAGAGGTTAAGAGGATCATACCTATAGGAATATCTCTCGTCTCAGAGGGTTTAAAGGGCCAATCTAGGTGCTTCTCTGGATGACCACGATTTGGAACTCCCCGCAGATGTGGCTGTCAGGCCAAGCTTTGCCGGTGGCGTGTGCAACCTTCCTCGTCGGCACTCACTTTTACACTGCTGTGCCAGTGCTCGCTGGATACTCTGGCCTTATGGTCCCAGAGACTGGTGTAGACTGGAAGACCTACTTCGTGCTCTATCGCATGTCTTACTTCACTTCTGTCCCCAGTGTCTTTTTGATGTACTTTGGACCAGGTGAGCGGTCCGCCTTCGGAGAGGCTGAGGGAGGCATCGAGGACATCAGCTTGACGGAGCTGACCCAAGCCTCCTACAAGTACTTCCGTGCCTACGACGGCTTTGTGGCCCTGAACCTGACCAAGGGCATCACCGAGACCCTGGATAAGACCGTTCACAACCGTAATGTCCCCAGGCTCAGCCGATACCGAGATGCAGAGGTGGTGAACAACAGGGAGCCCTTTAGCAACTTAGTAGTAGAGTAGGTAACCTTTAACCTTTTTGGCTTAACATATTCCGACCCTAAACCCTAAACCCTAAACCCTAAACCCTAAACCCTAAACCCTAAACCCTAAACCCTAAACCCTAAACCCCTAGGTACTGGACAGCTAAGGCAACGAGCAGGAGCCGACGGTTCCCCCGGGCTTCATGGAGACCTACCGCATCGCCCCGGTCTTCCTGCAGTGGGCCCCTTGCACCACACGGTATAGGAGACTTGCTGGCCCAGTGGTGCCCTTTTCCCTTTTTTTGGGTTCAAGGTTCCCTTCATTAAAAATGACTGTAACCAACCAAAAAAAGGTATGCCCTGATGATAATAAGGTTACTGGGCTACTGAGGATATCTGCAGGCTGCTTGAACCAGAACCAAGTCGTTGGCTGGGCCATGGCCCAGTCCAGGGCCCTTTGTACCAACTTACGGATGGTCAGCTGCCGCCAGCAGAACCCTCTCCTGGATCCGATCTATCGCTGCTCCAGCAACGCCACAAAAGGAGCGGTTTACAAGGGCAGCATCCAAGGCCTTTGTGGCCGGAGCGTGCCCCCTCCCAACCCTCAGGTCATCGATGAGTTGTCGGCCCTTCTGTTGCTGGATGGCTGGCCGGAGAGTCGACTGCCGAATGTCTCTCATGGCTGGTATGACGTGTGGCCTGAGGCTTGTGTTCACAACTCAGCTGGCTGCCGCGCGCACTGGGCTTTGCTCGAGAATCTGGGTTTCTAGGCTCTGCTTTTGCGCATGGTCTCATTTCTTAAACCCTACACCCTAAACCCTAGACCCTAAACCCTAAACCCTGAACCCTGAACCCTAAACCCTAAACCCTGAACCCTAACCCACAAAAAACGCCCTAGTCCTTTAGTTCTGTCCTGTTTAGGGTCAACTCCGCCCAGCGAGCCGAAAGATCTGTGCCGAGACCTAAGGCGCCTAAGCCCCACACCCTTCTGTCAGTGGTATTGTTCGTGTTCTTGCTAGTATTGTTATTGTTTTTGTTATTGTTATTGTTATTGTTATTATTATTATGTCTATTTCTATGTATGATTATCATTGTTACTGATATAAATTTTGCAATTATGATCAGTACTCCCTAAACCCTAGATTTGTCATATACAGACCCTGGGACGACCCAGGCCTGGCATTCAGTGTCATCACCATCACTTTGGCAGTGCTGCCCTTGTTGATCGACTGCTCAACGGACTCGCGCATACGGCAGGCGATGGCATTCCAAGAGGAGTGCAAGACGCGTAGCAAGAAGGGGGCCACCATCATGTTCTGAGGATCTTCTAGGCTCCTCATCGACGCATGCTTGAAAAGCAGCGGTTCTTGAGACATCCGAACCCGAATTCAATGTGTCACCCCGACAGCTGTAGGCTCACTCTTGCCTGGAGGTCGTTATTTCAAAAAGGAGAATCGACATTGCTCGTGCCTTCTGGAATGCTGTAGACGCCTAAGCTGCTCGACCCCTAAACCCTAAACCCTAAACCCTAAACCCTAAACCCTAAACCCTAAACCAAGGCCCACGTAATAGCATCCCCGAGGGGCTATCTGGAGGACCCCAGGACCTCCTGATCTAATGTTGGGATGTTCCCCCTTATACTAACAGTCCTTAATAGGGCTTATGATACGGGGTATACTATAATCCCTATTAAAGGACTGTTAGTATAAGGGGGAAATCCCAAGGTAAATGTCTCGCTTAATGCAGCGCGAAACCCAAGAGAATCGTTGAATGTCAACTCGCGCGCCTTCTTGGTCCAAGACGGGCTGCGCCTGGCCACGTTCGGAGCAGGCAGGGCTTACCAGGGTCGGAAGCTGCCCCCTAAACCCTAAACCCTAAACCCTAAACCCTAAACCCTAAACCCTAAACCCTAAACCCTAAACCCAAGGAGCATGTGGCAATTTGAACCCTAAACCCTAGACCCTCGCAAGACAGAACTCCAACAGTCCCAGGTGCCCCCCCCCCCCCCCCCCCCCCCCCCCGGTTTTTGGCCTCTACATCCCAAGAAGCAATAGCTAGTCCTCGCTCGGAACCTAGAAGCCTTCTTACCTTGAAGGTACATGGGTACGTATAAGTAGGTTTACGGGTATCGTTGTGCAGCTCTTCCGGCTCCAGAGCCCGTGGGCTTAGGGTTTAGGGTTTCGGGTTTAGGGTTTGGGGTTTAGGGTTTAGGGTTGAGGGTTTCGGGTTTAGGGTTTAGGGTTTGGGGAGGATGAAATCAAGCAGACTAGGTTCACAAGGGTTTAGCATGGATCTCTGAGTCTGGATGCGAAAGAGTTTCAGGAGGTTCAGGGGGGTTTAGGGCATCTCAGCCCCCTGCTTGATGGGGATTTTGGGTTTTGCATGAGAAGGTGAGACATCCGGTCGGTCTGTTGGCCCAGTTCTGCGCATCATGGTTGCCTTCTGAGGTTCCTAGTTTCAATCGTCATAGAGCTTCATCCATGCGGAGTCAATGATGCCTTCCTCCCTTGCTTGGAGGTTCAAGGGTAGTTCATAGCTTCCACGGGCTAGGTTCGTGACGCTGGGAGTCGCTCATTCTCAAGCCACTATGCATATACCTTGTTTGCCGAGGATTCTGTGCTGAGTGTTGAGGTTGAATTTGTTTTGCAAGGGGTAGTGAATATGGTTTAGTAGAATTCCTAGTTCTTACGACTTGATTGGGGGGTAGGGGACCCCAAAAATAAAACACCGGCCCCTAAATAAACTAAGCTATCCTAGTTTTGCTGGCAGTGCTTCCGTGCTCACAAATGCCTGGGTCCAAGTGCCTTCGACGTGTATGGGTTATGTCAGACTAGAAACAATGAAGGTGAGGGTGTAAGCAGGCCCCGCCTCTTGCCGGAGCGAGGCAGCCAGCTCCTGTCCAGCTAAATCTCAACATGTTCGGGTCTAAAAGCCAGAAGGTCACTCAGGTGCCAAAGTTCGGAGGTCCTTGTCACCGTCGATGTGACCCTAGTGCGCATTTAACATCTCCAATGTCCGAGACTCTACACACGTCGCATGGCCTTGCCGTGGTCTGATATACCAGGCATTCAGCAACAAATCCATGTTTACGCATTGTTTTTGTGGGCTTGTGGAATCCTGCATGCTCCTGGATGCCGTCGGATGCGCAATGTGCTGTGCCCAACGGGTTTATCAAGCAGCATCACGCATGTCTAGCGGTCACATGAACCTTGGGAGTTCCAGGTGGAGGGTAGCTGGGAATCTGTCGTCCTCAGCCGTGGCTTACGTAGGCGGTCATACAGGCCTTGTAGGAGCCTGGGAAGCTTCAAGTCGTGCAGAAGGAAGGCTGTCATGTCACACATAAAGAAGAGTGGCCGTTGCTCCACGGAGGGATCAGCCTACGCTCATCAGAGTTTACCTAAGCAGTCTTATTGCATCCAAGTGGCCGAAGCAAACAGAAATACATTCAAAAACATCTGAAGGCTCGTGATAAAACTGAGGATGCGGCTGAGTCGAAGTTCTCTGCTGCTTAACACCAGTTTAGGTGTTGGAGTGCGAACTCTACTTATGTTTGGACTGCTGAGCACATCACTGTTTCTTGAGAACCGTAAACATGCCGATGTTGTGTTGGACGGGGTCCTGTACATGTACACACGTACACATGCACACACGTGCGACACTTCACACAGAGGACAGTTCAGTCTCACGATTCAGGCATAGTGAGACATGCATGTTTCACATTGACTAGTTAAAGCCAAGTCAGCTTTTCTGTCGGCAAACACGGAAGCATGGTGATTTCAAACAAGCTGGAGGCAGTATGTTTGGCGGCAGCTCAGGCAGCAGCGGAGGCCTGTCTCTGCAAATAGTTCACGAGTTTTGGGTATGCTCGCCAGGTCGTCAGGAGCACACTGCACTGTCGTGTTGTGGTGTGTTATGCAAGAACCCATGCAACACTCCAAGGTCTTTTCGGCGCAGGGGCAGGCGGCGCAGCCAGTTCTGGCAGCCTCTTCGGTGGAGGAGGGGCAGCTACAAGCGGCGGCGGCCTTTTCGGGGCAGCGTCGAGCAGTGGCAGCATCTTCGGGGCTGGAGCGCCCAGCAGTGGCGGTAGCCTTTTCGGCAGCACTCCAGCCTCTAGCAGTAGCAGCCTCTTCGGCTCAGCTCCAGCATCGGGTGGCTTCGGTGCCAGTTCTAGTGGCTCTGGCGGGGGTTTGTTTGGGTCAGCACCAGCATCCGGTGGCTTTGGTGCGAGTTCCAGCAGCTCTGGCGGAGGCTTATTCGGCTCAGCTCCAGCATCGGGTGGCTTTGGCGCCAGCTCAGCCGGATCCGGTGGAGGCTTGTTCGGTGCAGCTCCAGCAACAGGTGGCTTTGGGGCCAGTTCTGGCGGAGGTTTGTTCGGTTCAGCTCCAGCATCCGGTGGTTTTGGCGCCAGCTCTGGCGGCTCTGGCGGGGGTTTGTTTGGCTCGGCGCCAGCATCCGGTGGTTTCGGCGCCAGCTCTGGCAGCTCTGGAGGAGGCTTATTCGGCTCAGCTCCAGCATCGGGTGGCTTCGGCGCCAGCTCGGCCGGATCTGGCGGAGGTTTGTTCGGTGCAGCTCCAGCAGCTGGAAGTGCCGGAGGGGGTCTCTTTGGTGCATCCACCACTGGCGGGCTCTTCGGAGCTTCCTCTGGTAGCAGTGGCAGCGGCGGACTTTTTGGTGCAGCCTCTGCAGGCAAGCAAGTAGAGTTTACTATAGCTCTTTAACTCGGATTAGCTGTCTTCGCGGGGTTCCGTTGGAAGAGCTGAATGATATTGGGGCATGTTCGCTCGTCGCTGTTGCTGTTGCTTGCCCACTGGACTTTTGCAGGCACAACAGCGGGAGGTCTTCCGAATGCACAGGAAGCCCAGCTTGTTTGCATGGAGCTGGCCAGAAGGATGGAGGAGAGAAGCATTGATCACCTTAAACCCTAACCCTAACCCAAACCCTCAACCCTAAACCCTAAACCCTAAACCCTAAGCAGCAGGAGCTCTATCCAGTCCTTGGTCGTGCCGCTGGGGACCGGCAAAGCGCAGCGCAGGTCGACAGGGCCCTGAGTTGATAGGACAGATGCGTTGGGATGTTCCCCCTTATTTAGGGTTTAGGGTTGAGGGTTTAGGGTTTAGGGTTTAGGGTTTCTAACAATCCTTAGTGGGGATTCTGCTAGGGGGTATAATCCCTCTTAAGGACTGATAGTATATGGGGGAACATCCCAACAGACATCGGCTTACTCTGACTTAGTCTGAGGCTAGCGCCATGGGCCCTTAAAACATGGCCCCGAACCTCCCCTAAAGAGTTCCGGTGTATGGGCCCTCAATGCAAGAGCCCTTTAAACCCTTATAAGCCCCAAAAACCCTCAAAAGCCCTAAGCCCGAAACCAAAAGTTGCGCCCGGAGGCAGCCGCCCAGGGCGCCGGCGCTGTGGGCCGGCTGCCGCCGCTTGTCTCAAGCTTTGGCAGCTTGTGGGTTGCGGGGTTTATGTAGGGTTTATATAGGGTCAGATGTGGTTTACATAGGGTTTAGATCAGATTTACAATCTGGGGTTTACATAGGGTTTATACAGGGTTTATGTAAGGTTTTTGTGGGGTGTGTTGAGTGTTTTTGAGGGTGTCTGTAGGGTTTATAGGGTTTGTAGGGTCTAGCTTTCCAGCTGTCACAACAGAGCCCCTAAAGGTTTGCTGCGCCAGTTTTCGACCCGAAACCCCAAACCTGGCAGACAGATGACTCCTTCCAAGCAAGCACAGAAGACGGCCCGGAACCAACTAAGCCGAATGGATGAAGAGGTTCATGGGTACTGATGGGGTTATAAGTAGGGGAGAGATGGGTAGGACCCTTTTTTGGCAGTTCCCACCGTACTTAGAAGTACTCATGAACCTGTAACCTTCAAGTATGATGGCAATGTCAACAACGACAACAAATGATAATGGCAACATCAGCGGCAGCGGCGGCGGCAGCAGCAGCAGCAGCAGCAGCAGCAGCAGCAGCAGCAGCAGCAGCAGCAATCAAACAAACAACAGCAACCCTAAACCCTAAACCCAAGAATGTTCACAGGTTTAGGGTGCCTCCCCCAAGATACATTGCACACCAGCTGCTGATACTGACTTTCAAGACGCGAAAGCTTGTCTGTGATCTTCAATCTGCGAATTCACGTCTGTCAGCTCAAGACGCTTAAGATGGAGGTTAAAGCGGTTTAAGACTAGAAGTTTTCTGGGAATCGTCAATCTACGATGCTACGTCTTCAAACTGAAGACACAACGGCCCATCTGGAAATTGACATGTTGTGCGAAGGATATCTGAGAACCTGTAACCTTCAATCTTCGACGTCGCTTTGAAGAACTTCAAGAACACTCAAGATGGTTAAGGGTCATCCTTCCTGTAGCATTGAAAGTTGAATGATCTGCATCTCCCCACTTGGAGGTTCCTTACTAGGGTAGTTATAAGTAGGGTTACAAGTACCCTAAATAAGGTTGCAACCATAGTTGCCGATACCCTTCTTATAAGCCTACCTATAATTACCCACATGAACCTCCAAGCACGGGGCTCTTGAAGTCATGTTGCAGCGGTGGTAAATCTGGCATCTGGTGATGGCGAGCGATGAAGCGTTTTTTGCTATCAGTGTTTCTCTTCATCAGTGATATGCAGATGACCCGCCCTCCCCGGCCCCCAACTGTAACCCTTGTGTGAATCTAATCACATGGAGTCCTGTCCAGAACTTCCATTCTCAGTGCAAGAAAGCAACGACCCCAAGACGTATCATTTATCATATAGGCTTTTTGTATCACACCTTGAAGTCTCACATCATCTGGATATGATCATGCACTGACCTATTGCAAAAGCAGAAGCCTCCTTGCCCAATCTTCCTGGCATTGTGCATGTGAAGTCCCATCGCGGTCTGGCAGCGGTGGTTGTCAGGAGTGATCCGGTAGGCCTGATCATAGTCGCACCTGCGTGAGCCATAAACCTGCCGAGACTTCCCGAAACCCCCAACGTGTGAGAATCGAAGCCACAGGCCCTAATCTGGCGTCCCTAGACCCTAAACCCGAACCTGGCATCTGACTCAGGTCTGCGGGCAACTTCTTGGCGTATAGCATCTTGCACAGAAAGGATGTCAGGAATGGCCGCTGAAGAGGTAATAAGCCGAACATGCGGCATGCGTGCTTGATATCCTGGACAACTAGACCTACGATCTGCTGGGGACATTCCCGGCAGTTCTTCAGGAAGAGAAGGGAGGTTCATGGGTGCTTATAAGTAGACTGGAAGAACAAAGTGCCCTAAAATCCTAAACAAGGCTATAAACAGAGTTACCCTACTTATCCCTCACTTATTTGCACCCAAAGGACTCCAAGGCGCCCCAAACCTAAACCCTTCACCCAAGACCCACCTGGATACTTCCAGCCCTGCCCATGAACCTCCAAGTAGCCCTGAACCCTAAACCCTTCACCCTAAACCCACCTGGATACTTCTAACCCTGCCCATGAACCTCCAAGTATGAGGCACGGTTTAGGTTTAGGGTTTAGGGTTTAGGGATCCTCCAAGTATGAGGCTACTCCTTCAGCTCGAACCCGCAGCTGCTCGCCCAAGTGACCTGGTCGAGGTAATCGGCATTCTACTGGTAGGCCCTTGCGGGGTATTTCACAAATTTTCCATTATTGGGCTTAAGAGGATCAATCTAGGACCTAGGAATGATTTTTAAGAGGGTTTGGAGGCCCAACCTAGTGTATGCACTCAACCAATGAAGCGGATCCACCCAAGACAGCTGAGTCTACGGTACCACTTAGAATCTTGTAGTTGGTGTAGTTGCCAGTGATGAGACGTGATGATGACTCCAGCCGCATGACGGCTGACATCATCTCAGGGCTTGTTGTTGATCAATTGTGCAGTGTGAGTTTGGGGCATCGACTCGAGGCGAACACGCCGCAGGCTTTCAATCCGCTACAGCATGCCACTTGGCCGCAGAGACCGCTGTCATCGGACGGCGATGTACGCAGTCTTGCCGGATGATGGCCAGGAGATGCAAGGGGGACAATAGATTCAGAATCTAAACTATGGTTTATGTTTGGATACACAACAGTACAAGGCTCTGTATCGCAACAAGAACATAGCTGGATGGACTCGGTAGAGAGCATTTTGCCACATGGGTCGGACTGCATAGATGGGCTGTTAACGCTAAACCCTAAACCCTAAACCCGAAACCCTGTTTCCTCCGTGGTTTCTGGACCAGGTCGATCCGGTGAAGTGGCTCCAAGCACTACAGTCCAACCCGGATCCTACCTCCTGCTACCCCGAAGCAATGGCACCTTGGACTATTATTTGGGTATTTCCAGGGGTCCCCCCTGTTATACCCCAAATAGAATAGAAATCCCCTTCAAGGTATTTTTCAAAGGAGTACCCCCTATTTTCGGAAACCCACATTTCAGAGGTCCGAGACGGCAGTTCGTTGTGCATCGCCTTGCTTGGTTTTGCAAGAACAAGACAAGTCTTCAAAATGGACAGTTGAACAAAGAGCCCGATGCTCTTAACTAAGTAACTCATAGTGAATACAGCTACACACACATATGCAATATATATATATATGTTTATTCATTTAGCTACAATGTAGCTAAATGAATAAAAACAAGGCTACATGTATATGCTACTGTACACAGGGTCTTGCGCTCCGTTGGTTCAATAAGGTGGGCCTACCCTCCCTTGAGCAGCGCCTACAGCAGCAGCAGAAGGTCGGGTGCCCCAGCGCAAGGCGGCTTCAGACTGATCCATGGCCTTTTACTTTTGATTCCTGTCTGCGAGGATTTTTCGAAAAGCAGTTGAGAGCAAGCACCACCACGCCTGCAGCCGATATGGACAGAAGCAATGTTTCGGCGGCCAGGTAGGTAGTGCCACGAAGATCCAATAGAATCGAAAGCTGGTCATCATGGACCTTCCTAGGGTGCTGCTCGCCGCTGCCAGCGCCGTTTGCCTGTGCCAGGCCGCATCCCTGAGCCCGCTGTACAAGTACGCCTTTGAAGCGGCGCCGTTTCAGGAGGTGCAATTCACGGCGGGAGCATCACCTGTAGTGCTCAGTGGGCGAAGCCCCAAAGAGTGCTCAAGCCCGCTGGACTTCAGCAATGCGAACGTGTCGTTCGTGGCCTTGGCCCTTACGGACTTAGGGCAGGGATGCTTCAGCAGCACTTCGTACGCCAACGGTGACTTTCCAGTCGTCATTGGTACCCTTCAGTTGGGTACGGAAAGCTTAGAGGCTTTCGAAGTGCAGCCACCACAAGCATCAGCGTCGCAGTTTGTTGCCAGTGGCCAACAGCTGTACGTACGACTGCCCGACACCTCTGAGTACAGGCTCTATCGCTTGGAAGGTGGTGTCCTGTTCCCTGTTGCGCAGATGAAAGCGGATGTTGCCGACAGCTTCGTTCCAACTGGTGTGGCGGTACAGAGCTTGTCCACAGCAGCTGTGTTCACAGTGCTAGCAGCAGATCGTGTGATTCCTGCCCCGACCAAGAGGACGCTGTCGGGACATGGCGTGACCGAGTGCGCTGGCATCTTCCCTGAGGCTGAGACGTTTGGGGACATCACTTTGGCCACCATGGAGAGCAACGGCGGAACCTGCTGGAAGGACCTGCGGTACTCCAACACCAACTACGTCCTGGAGCTGGGCGAGCTTACGGGCACTGACGGGACCGTGCTGGAATCCGTCCGCATCTCGCCACCCAGCATCCTGGCCACAGACTGGGTCGCTAGCAGAACCCAGCTTTACATCAAGCAGAGCATTGCGAGGTCCACCAATATCTGGACGTACGTGGCCAGCAGCGGGTTTCGCCTGCTGGAAACCATGGATGCTAATCAGAGCTACCAGAAAACCTCTGTTCGCGTAGATGACCTTTCCGAGCAGATGCTGATCATTCTCCAACCCTCAAGTGCTCGGCTCAGCGTTTGGCCGCTGAAAGCAACAGGGGTGGAGGCAGCATGGCTCGATGGCAAGGTGGATGGAAGCTTCAGCTTGACTGCTCGGAGGTTCTCTGTGCCAGGTCAGCCGTTCCGGCCAGAAGTGAACTGGAACCACGGACCGGGAACTCACACCGGCAACTACGGCACGTACAAGCGCTTCTTTTCCGTGATGCATGCTGACGGCCGGGAGGGCGTCGTTTGGCAGGACTTCACCAACGAGGCCGTGAAGCTGACGTGGCTCGCTGCAGATTTCCTGTCCTCGCAGACCGTTCAGCTTTCGGCGCTGTCATCAACAATCTTTGTCGGGGCGGTGGGCGATGGCACCGGAAACGTGGTCCTCCTCCTGGGCGCTGCCGGGTCTCCGACCGACAAGACAGCCACGAGCTCAGCGGAGGTTGTGAAGTATGACGCCGCTGGCAACGAGGTCCTGAGGGCCGCGCTGCCTTCAGGCAAGTCAGATCTCAACATCTATGCCTTCTCCTCCTCCGGTGCATCTTTGGCATGGGACACGGGCTCAGGCACCATCGCCGTGTCCCTTGCTCGGACCATGACGAAGGCCAGTGACGGCTTGAACCACCAGGGTGGCATTGCCTTTGTGCTGGACGCGAGCACCCTGCAGATCATTTCGAACTATGGCCAGACCTCGGGACATTCGTTCGCAAACTCCTTGAAGGTGTCGCAGAAAGCTGGCTGGTACATTGGCAAGGACTTGGGTGACAACTACCCTCGTGGCATCAACTTGTGGGAACTGAAGGCTACGTCCAAGTCGTGGCAGAAGCGGCTGGTGTACAAGTTCAAGACGAAGCATGGCACGAGCGAGACAAGCCCGGCGGGCGCAACATACCCTGTCTACTCCGAGATCTCCACGTCGGGGCAGACGTACTACAAGTGGAGCAATGACAACTACATCTACACCGAGCTGGCGCATCCGGGGCTTCACGAGGTCAACGACACGATCCTCGTGTTCTTCACTGGCGAGGCCCCGCCGCTGGACAACGGAGTGGTAGGCCAGGCACTGAACGTTGCTCGGAATGTGGGGTTTGTCAAGATACCACGGGATTTGAGCAGTGACGCAGTGCTGTCGCCTGGTGCAGAAGAGACAGGCGGATTCTACACCTTCGGCGGCGGCTGGTCTACACAGACAAACCGCGGAATCAGTTTCCTCACGTCCAAGACGGATGTAGCTGAGTCTGTGAGCCGCCTGAAGACCGCGGAGCTAGGTGGAGCCATTTTGCTCATCTGGGAGGTTTGGTCTCGAACCGCCTACAACAGAAGTGAATGCATGATCGTCGACACTGATGGCGCAGTGCTGCAGAGTGAGACCTTGTTGACCTACCCCTTGCAACTTCCCTTCGCTGACGACGTCATGGTCATCGACGGCAAAATGGTTGCCTACGTCGGGTCACCAGAACAGCAGCTTGTCCGCCTGGAGTTCTGCTACCAGGGCTGTGACGCTCCCTTAAGCTTGGGGACGACGAGCACCGTGAACCCCACTGGCAGTTCTGGCAATCCAGGCGATTCATCTTCTTCAGGTGGTGAGCTCGCCAGGCTGAGCATGGCCTTGTTCTTGTTGCTAGCAGGACTGGCGGCTGTCAAAGACACCTCAGGACTGCCCATGCTCTGAGCAAAAGCTCCCGGAGTACAACCCCGTTTCAAAAGGTTCCGCACAATGGCCTCCACGAAAATTGACGGCAACCATTCCGTTCTTGATGATTCTTGTCTACGAGGATTTTTCCGAAAAGCAATGAGAAGAGCAAGCACCATCACGCACGCCTGCAGCCGATATGGACAGCAGCAATGTTTAGGGGGCCAGGTAGGTAGTGCCACTAAGATCGCTGGTCATCATGGACCTTCCTAGGGTGCTGCTCGCCGCTGCCAGCGCCGTTTGCCTGTGCCAGGCCGCATCGCTGAGCCCGCTGTACAAGTACGCCTTTGAAGCGGCGCCGTTTCAGGAGGTGCAATTCACGGCAGGATCATCACCTGTAGTGCTCAGTGGGCGAAGCCCCAAAGAGTGCTCAAGCCCGCTGGACTTCAGCAATGCGAACGTGTCGTTCGTGGCCTTGGCCCTTACGGACTTAGGGCAGGGATGCTTCAGCAGCACTTCGTACGCCAACGGTGACTTTCCAGTCGTCATTGGTACCCTTCAGTTGGGTACGGAAAGCTTAGAGGCTTTCGAAGTGCAGCCACCACAAGCATCAGCGTCGCAGTTTGTTGCCAGTGGCCAACAGCTGTACGTACGACTGGCCGACACCTCTGAGTACAGGCTTTATCGCTTGGAAGGTGGTGTCCTGTTCCCCGTTGCGCAGATGAAGGCGGATGTTGCTGATAGCTTCGTTCCAACTGGTGTGGCGGTACAGGGCTTGTCCACAGCAGCTGTGTTCACAGTGCTAGCAGCAGATCGTGTGATTCCTGCCCCGACCAAGAGGACGCTGTCGGGACATGGCGTGACCGAGTGCGCTGGCATCTTCCCTGAGGCTGAGACGTTTGGGGACATCACTTTGGCCACCATGGAGAGCAACGGCGGAAACTGCTGGAAGGACCTGCGGTACTCCAACACCAACTACGTCCTGGAGCTGGGCGAGCTTACGGGCACTGACGGGACCGTGCTTGAATCCGTCCGCATCTCGCCACCCAGCATCCTGGCCACAGACTGGGTCGCTAGCAGAACCCAGCTCTACATCAAGCAGAGCATTGCGAGGTCCACCAATATCTGGACGTACGTGGCCAGCAGCGGGTTTCGCCTGCTGGAAACCATGGATGCTAATCAGAGCTACCAGAAAACCTCTGTTCGCGTAGATGACCTTTCCGAGCAGATGCTGATCATTCTCCAACCCTCAAGTGCTCGGCTCAGCGTTTGGCCGCTGAAAGCAACAGGGGTGGAGGCAGCATGGCTCGATGGCAAGGTGGATGGAAGCTTCAGCTTGACTGCTCGGAGGTTCTCTGTGCCAGGTCAGCCGTTCCGGCCAGAAGTGAACTGGAACCACGGACCGGGAACTCACACCGGCAACTACGGCACGTACAAGCGCTTCTTTTCCGTGATGCATGCTGACGGCCGGGAGGGCGTCGTTTGGCAGGACTTCACCAACGAGGCCGTGAAGCTGACGTGGCTCGCTGCAGATTTCCTGTCCTCGCAGACCGTTCAGCTTTCGGCGCTGTCATCAACAATCTTTGTCGGGGCGGTGGGCGATGGCACCGGAAACGTGGTCCTCCTCCTGGGCGCTGCCGGGTCTCCGACCGACAAGACAGCCACGAGCTCAGCGGAGGTTGTGAAGTATGACGCCGCTGGCAACGAGGTCCTGAGGGCCGCGCTGCCTTCAGGCAAGTCAGATCTCAACATCTATGCCTTCTCCTCCTCCGGTGCATCTTTGGCATGGGACACGGGCTCAGGCACCATCGCCGTGTCCCTTGCTCGGACCATGACGAAGGCCAGTGACGGCTTGAACCACCAGGGTGGCATTGCCTTTGTGCTGGACGCGAGCACCCTGCAGATCATTTCGAACTATGGCCAGACCTCGGGACATTCGTTCGCAAACTCCTTGAAGGTGTCGCAGAAAGCTGGCTGGTACATTGGCAAGGACTTGGGTGACAACTACCCTCGTGGCATCAACTTGTGGGAACTGAAGGCTACGTCCAAGTCGTGGCAGAAGCGGCTGGTGTACAAGTTCAAGACGAAGCATGGCACGAGCGAGACAAGCCCGGCGGGCGCAACATACCCTGTCTACTCCGAGATCTCCACGTCGGGGCAGACGTACTACAAGTGGAGCAATGACAACTACATCTACACCGAGCTGGCGCATCCGGGGCTTCACGAGGTCAACGACACGATCCTCGTGTTCTTCACTGGCGAGGCCCCGCCGCTGGACAACGGAGTGGTAGGCCAGGCACTGAACGTTGCTCGGAATGTGGGGTTTGTCAAGATTCCACGGGATTTGAGCAGTGACGCAGTGCTGTCGCCTGGTGCAGAAGAGACAGGCGGATTCTACACATTCGGCGGCAGCTGGTCTACACAGACAAACCGCGGAATCAGTTTCCTCACGTCCAAGACGGATGTAGCTGAGTCTGTGAGCCGCCTGAAGACCGCGGAGCTAGGTGGAGCCATCTTGCTCATCTGGGAGGTTTGGTCTCGAACCGCCTACAACAGAAGTGAATGCATGATCGTCGACACCGACGGCGCCGTGCTGCAGAGTGAGACCTTGTTGACATACCCCTTGCAACTTCCCTTCGCTGACGACGTCATAGTCATCGACGGCAAAATGGTTGCCTACGTCGGGTCACCAGAACAGCAGCTTGTCCGCCTGGAGTTCTGCTACCAGGGCTGTGACCCTCCCTTGCTGATGACGACGACGACGACGACGACGACGACGACAAGCACCGTGAACCCTAGCAGCACAAACTCCGAGAGTGTCACAAGCTCCGACAGCCTCAACCAGTCCAGCACGAGCTCAGCAAGCAGTCAAACACCCTGCAGTCAAGATTGCAGCTCAACATCGCAAGAGTCAACGACACAGGAGCCACCCAGCAGCTCCAGCACAGGCCCAGCGCCTGATGAGGAAGAATCTGCT